CGTCTTTAGGGTGTCTTAAAGACATCTTGAAGTCTTTCAGACATCTGCCTAAATTCGTCTTGAGGACTGAGACATTTCAAAGACGTCTTCAACGAGATGTCTTAAAGAGGTCTTTGAATCTTTTTTCAATATTCACTTTTAGGCTAGGTTGTATCAAATACGTCTTAAGATTTTGTGTGCAGTTTGGGAATATGCCGCTAACAATACGGTATTTCACATGATATTTTATAGTTCTCGGACAAGAAGACACATTAAAATCCTCTAATCCCTTATTCTGTTTACATTTTGGGAGCTGAGTTGAGTGATCTAACTCAACTTTTTTTTGCTTTTTTTCTAACTTTTATTTATCCTGAAGTTTCCTGAGCTTGATTAATTTTCCCTTGGTGTTTTTTGTGGAGGAATTATTAGAAGTTGCTGTTTTTGAAGACATAATGGAGCGTAAACTAGTTTTGACATAGCATAGCGTTACGGTAAGGCATCCGGTAAGTTCCGTCAGATAGCAGGCTCCGCTAACGCTACTTACTACCGTAAGAACTGCCATGTCTTGTCAAATAGCGTTACGGTATTTAAAATTTGGAGGGCACAAAAACTCTCTGAATATCTCTTAAATTAACGAATGCCACAGTGTCAATAGTGTAAAAAGTGTCGACAAGTTCCACCATTCCGAACTCACCTCATATACAGTATCCGTCAAAATTACCAAACATATAAATTATAGCATTTATTAATTTGTAGCATGCGTATGTGTTCAAAAAATGCTTCATAGCGACTCAAAAAAACTTCATAACGATTCTGCAAATCATTGAAAATACTTATTAAGAGTGCTTGCTGAAATTTTTCTGAGATTTGTTTCAAACTTGAGCCTTTATTCCATCCAAATCCGTGTGACCGGAAATAGTACTCTACTAAGAAAACTGATTCTTACGTTAAAACTGTTAAAAGATACATAATGACGAAAATGTTAAACTTAACTTAATGTCGACCTCGTAACTAACGCCAAGTAAGCGAAATATGATAAATGCAACATGCGTGCGCAATTACTCAGAGCTCTAGATTTCGGTACTGTTTATTTTGGCGGATACCGTATAACAATGGGTTAATGGGTATGATTGTAATCTCTTGTATGCACAAAAAGTAGTAGAGGTATCAGTGGCGTATCCAGCCTGAGGTTCTGGGGGGGCAAACCTGGTATGTCCGCCATAGGCGGAAATTTTTTTTGAGGTGCCACGCCCAAAAGTCTTCAAAACCACACAATCGAGTATTCGCTCGCTTCTTTCAATACTTTTGTAGGACAAAATATATAATATTTTCACAAAAAAATAAGGTCCTCAAAGTTTTTATTTTATGGCATTTTCTTCAAATATATTTGTCAAATACCTGCAAAAATATATTTTGACAGGTCACCGAAGAAAATGCCATAAAATAAAAACTTTGAGGACGTCTGACCCCCTTTTTGCAACGAACTAGACGTCTGACGATTTACATACGTTATCTGTGACCTTCAAACAGATAATGTGCAAAATTTCTATAAATTTTGAGCTTTGAGAAAACAGTTTAGATGCTTCTTAAAATTACAACTTTGCCCGCATCCCAGAGCCAGCTGTCCCGGAACTGTGAGTGCTGACTGTACACTAGCATTCTAGCACTAAAGTACGACCTATTTTGAAAATATCCGCCTTGCGAAAACTCTTGCATGTTTTTGACGCCAGCTCCCCAACTATAAACACAAAAAAAAAAAAACGAAATAGGGTTGACACCATCGTTCCATCGTTGACACACAGGACGAAGTAGGTACCTACTGTCTGCCACTTTATTGTCACCTGCAACAAAATCAAAATCAGGGAGTACCTATGATTGTACATTCCACAGAAAGATTGAATCATAAAGGTACCTTTTGCATTACCAGCTTTACCAGACAATTATTATTGCTTTTGAGAAAGATGGTTTTTGTGTTTTTGGTGGTGTCGCCTGTTGACAAAGTCTGAGCCCTGATGAGTGATGATGGCTCAAAGGCGAAAGCGCTAGGCAGCTAGTACCTAATATACACTACGCTGAATATTAAACTAGTATTTTGACTTTTATTCCCTGATTGTCAAGCACAGCGTACAACTGAACAGTTTCTATTTATAAAAAAGCTACCTGTTCATGTAGTTGAAAAAATTATTATTTATTTTGGTAAATTTTTGAATTTATTTTTTTATTATTTAACAAATTTTTAAAAAAATAGAAGGAATAAAAAGATGTTGCTCTGGGGACGGCAATTTCCCCCTTTGCCCCCCCCCCCTGGATACGCCAGTGAGAGGTATCGATATGCTAAATGCTTCAAGTTTCAAGTATGTAGGTACAACATGCTTCTTGAAGTTTGTACTACACTAACGAAGCATTTAATACTCTTCGTATTTAGTAGAGTAGGTAAGTAGCTATGAAGATAAATACTCCAAGTATATGTATAATATATATGCTTGAAGTTTGTACAGCACTAACGAAGAATTTACTACTCTCCGTACTTAGGGCGGGTATTATAAAACTACTTTGAGAGTTAACTTTAAGTTAACTTCTGGAATTACATGTAAGGTACCTGACCCAAATAAGGCCACGTACCCAATAAGGCCAATTCCCCTTATTACTTAATATTGAATCCCATATTCAAAAATTGAAATATTATTGAAAAAGATATCTATAATGCAAATCAAAAATTATTGCGAGGATTCCTAGCGACTCGTTATATGTCGAAAAATGGCTAACCACAGATTTCATATGTCACGTTATAACTTTGAGGCTGGAACTTTAATTAGTTTATACACATGTTCATAAAGGGAATGGAGCGAATGTAATTTTTAAACGGACATTTATGTATTGAGAAAGCTACAGAGTAAGTACAGAATAATATCTTTGCTAGATTTCTAGTTACAGAATTTTTTTTATCAATGTAACATGTTCCTAATAAGGCCACATGAGAAATTTTCAATAGGCTCGTACAGCATATTTTTTTTATTACATATTCTAAAAGAGCGTATTGAGTTTAGCAATTGTGCAAAATTTCATAATTTTCTGAGTCCTTGTTCATATTTGAATAAATTATCAAAATGATCCAAATTTGAAAATTTTGAAACAAGCGGTGACGTCACTGCATCTCTCACGTTGGTCGTGTGACGGCCTTTAGCCCGTCTTGACTCGAGAGATGACGTCATACCATCTCTCAGCGATGAATTTCTGAGGCATAATGTTTTAATATTCAAAGCCGCATAACTTTTTTAATATTTATTCAATTGAGCTGAATTTTTTTTTTGTGTGCTATATGTGAGTAATACTCCATAAAAATATCAAAAAACGTGGGTAATGAAACTTCACTGAACGAGCCTATTGGCCTCACATCACAGTTTTTTTTTAAAAGAATGTGTCATATTATTGCTTAAGTGATGTGTTCTAGAGCGCCTGAAGTCTAACCAAGCATAAAAGCTGCGGTTCATTTGTCCTAGTTGTATGTAGACCTATTCGGATTACCATCCCTGGACTTAAAATTATTGTTTTTTCTAGAATGCAGCAAACGTTAAAGTTCTATTTTGAGAACTTTTTGTCGAAAAATAATATTTTTATGAATGATTCTATTTATTTTAAACATTTTTTATTGTTGGCCTTATTAGGAGCATAGTGATCAGAATAAGGCTAATGATAAGGGTCTTTGTTTTACGCAAAAACCATCAGTTATGTGTAAAAATAAATAAATTGGAGTTAATATTCAAGTAATAGAAGCGAAACACTTCACATATAAGCTCGTGATTCTTGTTGGGTTTGGTGGATAGTGTTCGCAAAAAATGAAACTTCTTAACATGGCCTTATTTGGGACAGGTACCTTAATTCAAAAAGGTAACTTCAAGTTAACTGTCAAAGCAGTTTTATAATACCCGCGCTTAGTAGAGTAGGTAGGTAGCTAATGAAAAGTAGTAAATGCTTCATTAGTGTAGTACAAGTACAAGTAGGTACATCAAGCTTCAAGTATAATGTAAATACTTGGAGCATTAGCAATATTAGCATAACTATTTACTTTTCAAGCCTTGTACTCATAACTGCGAAATTCGCACTTTTTTGACATTGCTTCGACAATTTGACGTTTTATGCGTGAATTAAACGTCAAATTGTCGAAGCAATGTCAAAAAAATGCGAATTTCGCAGTTATATGAGTACTAGGCCTTTATAAATTCCTGGCTTAGGGCAGGTAAAGCGTTGCCCTGAGGAGTAGGAACGTGCCATTCTGCTATGAAACCTGAATCCAAGTTTTTGGCAGGTGTTTGACACCAAATACATGTAAAAATGAATTTCCTACCGTCATTTTCTGGTGCCAAAATACCTGGGAAAAAAGACCTCATTTTCCAATTCCATGTTACTACTCCTTTAGCTTTTGTGCCTTTACCTTTACCCTGCTCTAAGATTCCTGGTTATGCAACTACCAATACGCAAACCTGATTCACCTTGTCTAATAGGCATGTCAAAAGTGTGAACCATCTTGAAAAAAAAAAACGAAATTCGCACTTTTTTGACATTGCTTCGACAATTTGACGTTTTATGCGTGAATTAAACGTCAAATTGTCGAAGCAATGTCAAAAAAATGCGAATTTCGCAGTTATGAGTACTAGGCTTTATACATTCCTGGCTTAGAGCAGGTGAAGCGTTGCCCTAAGGAGTAGGAACGTGCCATTCTGCTATGAAACCTGAATCCAAGTTTTTGGCAGGTGTTTGACACCAAATACAGGTAAAAATAGATTTCCTACCGTCATTTTCTGGTGCCAAAATACCTGGGAAAAAAGGCTTCATTTTCCAATTCCATGTTACTACTCCTTTAGCGGTTGTGCCTTTACCGTTACCCTGCTCTAAGATTCTGGTTATGCAACTACCAATACACAAACCTGATTCACCTTGTCTAATAGGCATGTCAAAAGTGTGAACCATCTTGAAAAAAAAAAAGATTTGCGACGTTGCCAACGTGCCGAGGAACAAATAATTCGATTTATTGACAAATGATAACAAGAAAATTTTACAATAAACAACCCATAAAAAAATTAACAAATAAATAAACAATTTATGGCTTTGCTTCTTGGCGAAGTAAGTGAAAATTTCAAAAGAAAAATCAAAGAACAGTGTATTTTGTTTTTAGGTGTCGCTCGTAGGGACCCTGTAGGATGCACGGCCTCATGTAGAATTAAAATTCTATATTTAGGTTACCTATAGTCCCTCTAGTTTAAAAAGCTAAATGAATAGAGGGAAAAAACAGCATGTTCATGGCGAATTCACGGGGTGTTGTGTAGGCGAACCATGTCTTCGATCACTATAAACTTGGAGATAGGACACGAAGCTTCATTGAGAGAAAAAACTACGACTGAGGGATTCACCCACGATTGGGAAGTGTTTGTTAGAGGGTCTAACGGGGCTGACATCAGACACTACGTTGATAGAGTTGTCTTTCACTTGCACGAGACTTTTGAGAAACCCAAGAGAGGTAAGGAGTAGTTTTTCACTCAAAAGTATTCAATTCAAAGGGTATTTCATTCATTCAAAATCATAAAAGTAACTTAAAACCCTTCAAATTCTGTAAGGGAATTTTGAAGTTGGAGAACAACATCACAAATGAGTAGGCAATTTAACCCAAAATTTCCAACTTAAATTTATTATCAAGGTAGATTATGATCTTATTCTACAGGTAGGTATTAAACTTGAAGGAAGAATCACCTTTTTTTGCGCCTTCAATTTATTATGCTTGAAAAAGTAACAGCATAAAAAAAAGCAGGACGCTAAAAAAGTATTTCTGCTGCTATATGCTGTTGTAGTTCATTGGATATCCACTGACAAAGTCCCCATGGTTGTAGTTCATTGGATGTCCACTGACGAAGTCCCTAAGCAAGTCCCAATCATAAATATTCTCATGATCAGGCTGCTCAGATAATTGGGTCTCAATTACATCTCAATTTCTTCTCCATTTTATTCATTGCTTTAGCTTCATTTTCTTCACTTTTATCCCGCTGTTTATAGTTCTATCTCATTCAACTTTTCCTTCACATTCTCCAAATAATTCAATAGCATATTGACAAAGTTTTCCACAATCTTGATGATCAAGAAATATCATGTACTAAAATGAGAAATACCTACAGAAACAACTAGAAAAAAGTGTAGATACCTATCTATGGGTTAAATGTTGAGCTACAGAGAATCAGGAAAATGGGTAAAACGTCTTGTAACAAAACTACAATCTAATTCCATTGCTTCCTGTTACTTGTATTAGAGGTTTTCCTGATCATGGCATCACAGAAGATACTTAAACTTTTTGAGACACCAGGGCCTGTGACCATCAATTTGATTTTAGGATTGTGAAAAGTGTACAGTTCTTGGAGTTTTAGACCTTTAGGAGGAAATAATGAAGTCTTTTGAGGGATGTGCTGAGCCCATATGCAACTTCAACTCCAAAATTTTGTTAAAATTTATTAGGCATCATTTCAAACCCTATTATTAGGGTCAATGTGGGTAATTGGAAATCTTTTGTCATTTGCACGAATTGAGACATAATTAACGCATATAAAAATGCATTTTACAAGGGCATATTGGAACGTTGTCCTAGATTGATATGCATTTATGTTACTTGTAGTTTTCGAAATATGGGATGTTGTCAATTATCCTAGTATTTTTCAAAAATTAATAACAGAATGTTGGGGGTTGGCATACATAAAAACCCGAGGGGTCAACCACTATGCTTACGAATGTACAATGATTTCCACTAGGATTTCCATATTTGGCAATCATTGATCAATGAATCTCATGTATTCCCATCCCAAGAATTGCGACTGATTGCCAATGATTTTCAGATATTTTTGTATGATTTCCAGGTAATTTCCATTTTTTTCTGGGGATTCGTATATCATTCTCGATTAATTGCCTGTTTTCCTGGATGCTTTTCTACAATCATTTGATTTCCAGCTGATTTTATTATGAAAATGATGTCTAATTGTGTCTTTCTCAGGGACATTCCCGTTGTTCTTGATACTCGATCGACAAACGTCCCTGCTTCTCTGAAAATTACCTAATTAAAGTTGAGCCCTGAATAATCTCTAAATTGTAGCGAATCGCAGTTGCTAAGCCCTGATGTGTGAAGAAATTCTGTGTCTACTTTTAGAAAGTCGGATTTGAGAGAGGTTTCAAGATTCATGTTTTCATTTTTATGATTTACAACATTGTCATACTTTAGGTCTGTTATCCGTCAGAGCAAATTTCATTGGTTGAAAATAGTCAGAAAACTGGTTGTTGGCGATTTGCACCAATCAAAAACGCTCTGACTGGTTTGTGATTTATGTGAGAACAGAGCTATTCTCAATCTCGTTCTTCTTCTTCTTCAAGCTCTAAACACTTCCTAGTCTCGGGTTCAGTTATTGGCTCAGTTATTGGTAAACTTGTTGGGATATCAAATACATTTCAAATTGTCTAGCACTCAATGTTGCCTAAAACTAGTCTTAAAGGCACATACACAACTGACTGGTACGCCGTATCGTTTGAAATGTATGATATGCGATTTCTGGGTTAGAATGAGATGATATTTCCAGCGATTACCAATGGATTCTTATGTGATTCCCATGGAGTCCTAGGAGATTCCGGGGGAGATTCCTAGCGATTTCCAGATTATTCCCAGGGACTCCCAAGTGATTTCCATGTATTCCTGGATTGATTACTATGTGATTCCCAAAAAAATTTACAATGATTTCCATTAGTGGTTTACGCCTCGTAAAAAACCCATCAATATTGATAAAAACCCAGTGCACTTTGAACTTTTCGCGACAAAAACCCACTCATTCCTACCATAGTGCCAAATATCAATCCAAAATTTAAGATTATCCTCATTTTTCTAAAAAAGAAATTATACTGATAAACAAGTAAATATTTGAAACTAATTTGTAGAGAATTTAATTGGATTTAACTAGAACCTAATTAGGTACCTAGCTGAAATTGGATGAATAATAACGCAGCTGTGAGCAGGGCTGTCACAGTTACTTGGAGTACAAAGTACTCAAAGTTTTGTAGAAGTAATTGAAGTAGAAAATACATTTCTCTCTCAAATATACTTCATTTACCAAGTACTTAATAAAAGTAGTGGAATTTTTCAGAGTTCTTAACTTGAAGTACAGTTGAAGTAATTCAAGTACTTGTACTTATACCGAAAACTTGGGTTTCTGCCAACCCTGGTAATTGACAACATGTAACTGAAGCTGTGTACAAACCTGGCATAAATCAATTGAAATCTTGAAAAAATCCATATAAGTAAATCATCTAATTTGTTCTTAAATCAGATAACATCAGCATAAATCACTAAAAATCTTTTTAAATCACAATAAATCACTAATAGCGATATTCAACATCATCTTTCATAATCACTTTTAGATTAAATCGTTTCTAACTTCAAAAGCGATATGAGTCAAGTAGGTAGCGCTTTTAACGTTATAAAAGGAGATGTTGAATATGGCTGTAACAATCTAAATAGCTGAATCAGAATAAATGTCTAAAAATCAAGAGGAATCTCCAAAATCAAGATAAATCACCTGTAAATCAATGTAAATCCATTTAAAAATCGTTAAAAATATTTATAAATCAGCCTAAATCCTGCCTGGATTTTTCTAATCAGCTAAAAATATCAATTTGTAAATCTCTATAAATCAGTTGAAAAGAATAAATATTTTGAATCCTATGTATCAGACAGACACTTCTTGGTGAAACAAGGAATCGAATACACTCATATTCATTGTATATCTTCAAACATTCCTCAAGTTGCATACTGAGTATCATAGTACTAATTATGGTTTTTTCTGCCCTATGGCTAGAATATGCAGGAAGCCATACATCGATTTATTGCTAAGTACATCCAAAGAGTGAAGTGCATCTTAATGCGTTTTCCAAAGAATTAACAGTGTCCGACAACAACGCAGTGCGTAGGCTAAAACGGCTGCTGCCATTCGACCTAGCTGTAGAACCCAAATAGTTTGGACTTGAGAATTCATAGACAAACAAACTCTAGATATTCAGATTATTTTTGAAAGGATATCACTCACTGGAGTAATACTCTACATGCCACTACCTTCTAGTCAAAATAAACGTTTATTGCCCTCAGGGCAGATTGCAAATCTCTCCAGGAGTTAAAAGAAAAAATAGTAAAAATCTTGGATTGATTTTAAATAGGTGTACAAATTTTAAGAAATGATCTTTCCCTCGAAATAAATGATCAAAAGATCAAGCCCCTGTTTCCATTTACCCACATTGACTATGTGACATTATGGTGTTTAGCTAAACAGCTACTAAATTGGCATTTTTCTCGCCAAACCATTACAAGAAAGTATTTACAGTATGTATATGGAAAAACCAAGTGTAGGAGTATGTGCGTGGAATTAGGAAGAGATCCCGAACAAAAATTATACATTCAAAGTTTCATACCAGTTTTCCAATCTTTATGCCTTCCAGCTTTGAAAATATTTTTGTTTTAGTTAATCTTGAAATATGTTCAAATGTTATCATATTATGTGCAGTGTTTCCATTTTTAAATTTTTTTTCTTAAGTATAGTGATAATTCACAATTAACACATAAGCTTTTATTGTACGCATTTTCCTAAGCTTTGTTTAATCAATGGTTGGTTTATTTTACTAATAATAACCAGTTGTAAAAATTGTTATAGTCTCACACAAAAACAAGCTTTTCCGCATCGACTGCATGTGTTTTTTGATAGCAACAATTGCAATTATCACCAACAAACTCAAATATTTGGATTTACTATAGTGTTTAGTTTATCGTAGTGTGGTTTAGTGGTATCACATACCTAATGAACGGATTGTGAATTATCAAATTAGCCTCAAAACAAAGGTCAATTATTATTTTCATGTATTCAAATATATACCTCCTACTCTAATATTATGATGAATAGGTAATATTATATTTTTTTAATGAAATTTTTAATAAACATCCTTGCGCAATTAAAAAATCCATATTTACTTAAAACAATTTGTTGCCACACATAATAATAAAATCAATGTAAAGTGCAGCCTTGCCGAGAATGTGACTATTTAATAATCTGTGCATTTTTAATGAAATTTCTAGGTTTTATTACTTGCAGTCACGTAAAGTTCTGATAGTTTTTTTTACAAAAACAATGATTTGAATAGCTCATATACATATGTGTGCAAAATAAATTATTCAGTGCAAAACGTGATACATTATACCCATATTTCATTTTAAATACACAGAAGTTATGAAGTTAAATAAAAGGTATAATAAGAATAAGATTCACAATTGAGTTTTAAAACTTGCAAATCTACATATTTATAGCAAGAAGTTGCACCTGATTGTAAAATTTGACATTCTTTTAGTTTTAAAAGATCCACCATACTCAGTGAAAACTTCGGGTTATGCCGGGTTCAATCTACCAATTCAAGTCTATTTGAAAAATAGCTCAGAGCCCAGAAAGATTCAATTTAACTATGATCTACGGCTGCAACCCAGCGGTCCCCCAATACATGAAATTCAGAAGGAAAAGTATACATTTTATTCAGTCACTGAAGATTTTCGCAATAAGTTATTGAAAGGTGGTGCTGTGGTGAGTTTTCTATTGCGTGTGTATAAAAATGTATGTGTAAAATTATTGAATTTAGGTGGGATCAGGTTCGAGTTCCACAGAAAATTCAATAAATCATTCAAGTAAGTCAGACGACAAGACCCAAATGACCAGTAAACCCAAATTGAGCGGTTCTGAACAACCCAAAAAGTACAAACTGAAACCCGAGGAGCCAAGAAGTGATCAATTTACTAATTTATTTGGTGAGTTTTATTTGTGGGTTTAAATTTTTTTATTTGCTAAATTTTTTTTTAGGCACTCCTATTACCAAAACCAGTCGGGTTGTAGATGTACCTAAAATTAAGGAACCTCCAAAGCCAGTAGTTAAAGCTAGTGATAAAGATAAGGGTGATAAAAGCACAGGTAATGGCTTCATTTTTTTTTTGCATTGATTATTTTTGATTATTTCAGACAAGGATAAAACTAAAAAAAGTCCTTACAAAGATAAGGATAAAGACAAAGAAAGAGATAAATCTGCAAATAAAGAAAAGGAAAAACAGACTGATAATAGCAATATCGACAGAAAATCCAAGGATGACAAAAAAGAAAAACGAGAAAAAAAAGATAGGGAACATAGCAAGAAAGATAAAAAAGAGCGGAGAGATAGGGAGAAGGAAAAAGAACGAGAGAGGAGTCCTAAACCAAAAAGCCCAAGTCCTAAAAGGTCAGTGATTTATTTAGTGTTTATATTTTTCCTGATGATTTTTTTTTAGATCTCCTAAAAGGCCAAGAAGTCCTTCACCTGTTAAAATTAGCAATAAGGAACGAGAACCCACAAAAGAAAAAGAACCCAAAGAATCACGCGACAAAGACAAAGAAAAGAAGTCCAAAAAACACAAAGTAAGTAAATTATTTTATTTCCCAAATAGAAAATCAAATTGTTTTTTTTTTTTTAGGAAAAAGAAAGTAAACACAGAGATAGAGACAAAGAGAAAGAAAGGGATCGCGATAGGGATAAAACCAGTGAACATAAGGACTATAAAAATAGGGAAAGTAAAGCCAATAAAGAAAAAGAAAATTCTAGTAGCAGTAATGGCACCATCATGAGTGCTTCCAGTAAGGAGAAGGAAAGAGAATCTAGTCCAATGGTTAATACTCAGTTGCAAAAAGTAAGCATAATTAATTATAATGATACTTTACTCCTTACACTAGTGGCGGTCCATACATGATTATCTGGAGGGGGTAATGGATGACGGAAAAATCATGTGTAAAAAATACTAAAAACTCAGATTGAGTTATTATTAATGGAGTTACAATTTTTTGAAAATAATGATGTTTTGTAAAGTAAGACTCTACAAACAATTGTTTCACTCAAAAACTAAAGTGAGTGGAAAGTTGAAATTTGGAGAACATTTTCCTAATAATTCATTGTAAAAAATACTGAAAACTCAAAGCGATTGAGTTATTATTAATGAAGTTACGATTTTTTGAAAAGAATGATTTTTTTGTAAAGTAAGACTTTACAAACAATTTTTACACTCAAAAACTAAAGTGAGTGGAAAGTTGAAATTTTGAGGACTTTTTCCTAATGATTTAATGCAAAAAATACCAAAAATTCAAAGCGATTGAGTTATTATTAATGGAGTTACGACTTTTTGAAAATTATGATGTTTTGTAAAGTAAGACTTTACAAACAATTTTTTCACTCAAAAACTAAAGTGAGTGAAAAGTTGAAATTTTGAGGACTTTTTCCTAATGATTTAATGTAAAAAATATTAAAAATTTAAAGCGATTGAGTTATTATTAATAGAGTTACGAGTAGGTATGTCGGTACTGGCATCAAACTTTGGTACTGGTGAGCCGTTCAATTTATACAATGCTTTTATAAATGCTCTATTTTGTAGAACTTGTCTCTTATTTAAATTTTTTTGTAATTAATAAATGTATCAAAAAAAATCTTTGACTGGGAGGGGTAATTACCCTCCTTTAAATCGCCCTTGCCTTACACCCTTGTTAAAAACACCTTTTAAAAGTAAATAAATAAATATGTATTTATTTTCTTTTAGCCTGAAAAAAAGGAAAAGATCAAAGAAAAAGATGACAAGTTGGAAGAGTCGCCGAAATTGAAAGACAAGGAAAAAAGTGATGACAAACCTAAACATAAACACAAAAAAAAGGACAAAGATCGTAAAGAGAAGAAAGAAAAAGACCGAGAAGAAAAAGCCCATAAGAAGGAAGAGAGGAAACTTGAAAAAGAGAAATTTTCAGTGATGAACTTTGTAAAGGAAATTTCTTCTAAGGAAAGGTAAATCAACTTATTCCCATAAACTAATAATTTTCACAACTAAATAATACTTTAGGGATAAAACGAACAACCTTTTTGGCAGTAGCCCCAAAAGTGAACCCTCACCCAGTCCGCCTCCTAGTGAAATTGAACCGGAAAAAATGATGGCACCTCTCGATGATGAGTCGTCAAATGCCTCCAAAATGAGTAGCAGAGAACCCAGTCCTGTACCGGAACCACTTCCACCTGCACCACCTCCAAGGGTAAGTAATTATATTTGCCATACACAAATTGTATTCACTCACTACTAGTTTTAACCCCTTAAATCACCCTAGTAACAATTTTGCAACTCGAAAACATTACCAAACTTCGCTACGCTGGTAAACTGTTTTCTCATTGCAAAATAATATGCTGGTCTCGTCACTCGTTAAACAATATACTATTTTTGTCTCATTGGAGTTCTAAAGAAAACAAGTTTAGTTGAAATAACACTGAGAAATAATAATAATGCAACAAATATAATCCCATGTTTCAAAAATACCTACACGTAGGGTTTCTATTTCTGTTTTAATAGCTTTTGCCAATATGAGATTTTCAATTCGCTCCGGACATAAAATTTAAATTTATGCGCTCAGACGTCAAAAGATCAGATTACACCTCACGTTTTGTCCACCTAAATTAATTAACTTTTCGAAATTAATTTCATAGTTTTAGATTAACTTAATATATAAGTGTGCATTTTCAAGAATTTTCTCGATTCCCACTAACCTGATATTATACTGATAAGCAACTATAACCCATTATCGCACTACTACGTAGCCCAATAATACCAGATTCGTCACCCATAAAATATGAAAACTGATACTTTTGTACATTGGAGTTTTTGCAGAAAGCAATAAACATTTATCGAGTATATGTTTTCTGGTTCGAATCTTGATTTGTTGGGAGTTTAGTCGGTGAGAAGCCAGTGTAGAAGTAACAACGTTCAAATTTGTGTTAATTTTTCGTTAAACTTGTTGGAACTCGGTTTTATTTTTTGTTTAATTTTTCTAAATGCAACAGTCACCTTCGCCTCCACCTATCCAAGAACCACCAAAGAAGCCTTCGACACCGGAAGAAGCTCATATTAGCAAAAAGTCACGAGAAGCTGATACTCCTATTAAGAAAAAAGACAAAAAAGAAAAGAAAAAAGATAAGAAGAGCGATAAGGATCACGAGAAAAAGCGGAAGAGGAAAGCGGAAGCTGATACACAGGTAAATTTAATTCTGAGGCAGAAATTGCTGCGGATTTATAGCGATATTTTTAGGTTGAAATAGAACAGCCACCGGCCAAAATGGACAAGAAAGAGGAAGACACCAACAATAATTCAGACGATGAAAGGAAAGTTTCAAGCACAGAAGATGCCAATCCTCTTCCTTATAGTGATGATGTAAGTACATAAATGTAATTTTACTTAAGATGAAACAACTATTTAACTATGTTCCACTATTTCTGATTCTATTTTGGCCATTTTTTTTTTGTATGAATCGACAAAATAACCCATCTCCAAATATAATTATTGTGGAATAATCTTACCTTATGATTTATTTCACTAAAATTTCCAGGGCGAAGCATATATGAGTATGCTCCGCGATCTTCAAACGAAAATCATGGGCCTGAAAGACAATTCGGACCTGCAAAAGGTCGTGCAACTGATCGCCGAAACTGGCAAGTACGAAGTGTCTGCGCACACCTTCGATTTTGACTTGTGCCTTTTGGACCGGTCGACTGTGATGCAGCTGCAGTCGTTTTTCTCTTCGGTGAATTAAGATTCGGTATAGTACGGGTGCAAGCGCTAGAACCATTGAAAATGGGCAATTGTGTTTTTTTTTTTTGAGAGAGTTAATAGATCTGTTTCTATGTTTTGAAGAGGACTTTTTAGGATTTATATCATCTCTGTTTCAACCAGGGTATCTTTTTGCAATATTTATTTGTTTATCAATATGTACATATATTTTTCAAACATCACAAGTCAGTAAAGGTATTCTTATTAGCAGACCCTACTGTTTATAAGGCACTATATTATAACTACACAGATCAAGTTATATATTTCTGTAAATATATTTTGAAAAGTTGTAAAAGCAAAAGGCGAATTTATCGGGGTTGATTAAAATTTTTGTTATTTTCTACATACAATGTATTGTCTATTCACAATCTGTAGTCCAAAGGTACAGATAAAATTTATCACGTTTCAATGCTATTTGATAGGAAAAGGTGATAAATTTACCTGTACCTTTGGACTACAGATTGTGAATAGGATATTGCTAATATTGTCGAAATATTTTCCATTAGACAGTAGTTATTTAGGAAAACACAATGCATGGAATATTGGTATCTCTGCATATAATAAATTATACAGGTAATTTTCTCAATATACTCAAGTTTGAAATTCTTCAAAGTTCTTGATTCCTGCTATCATTTCTAACTCAGAGGACATTTTCTATAAACTTCTCTTTGATTAATATATTATGTAGATATACACAAGAAATTTATGGATACATACATAATATTATGTTCATTTTTGTATATTAATTTTTTTTAAATTTTAGACATTGCCCCTTTATTGATATTTTTGTTAAACCTCTTGGAGGTGATTTTTTAAGTAATGCTGTGCATTTTTTAGGTGTGATATACGAGATATAATTATGCTGTTTATTGTTAGTTAACTTTTGCTTAATTGACTGAATAGATTAGTTGGAATTTTGGACCTTAAATTAAAATGTTTCAAAAATTAGAGTTTATTAAAGGTTATAATATGAAAGTTGTTATCCCTTTTCTTAAGTTATTTATTTATTTCCTGACCAAATACAAAGTTGGCGAATAAAATACACATAAAATTTGGATAAAGAAATATTAATTAAAATGAACAAAGGCAATGATAATATGTAATTAAAAATGATGAATCAAAAAATATCCAAATGAATGATAACTCCAATAGTGATATTCATCCCATGGTATCTAAATTATCGAATGTATTTGAATGTGTGAGATATTATTTCCGTACTTTGTTGAGTATATTATATTCTAGCCAAATAAACTCGATTTTGCATTTATTTTTTCAGTAATATTTATTGCATAACGAAATCTATTCAGTAGTATTTAAATTGTGCGTTAAAAGTTACGAATTTGTAAATATGTAATACTTTTTACATGTTGGTAGTATTTTCAGCATTGAGCTTTCAAATTGCAGAAGCCGATACTTTAATATTAGTTGATATGAAGCATATTAACTAACATCAAAATATTACTAACTCAATGGCAAATTCTGATATTCAAAAAGCAAAAAATATAAAGTCATTAACTATGCGAAATGTAAATTCTGGAAATACTGTCAATACAATATTAAAAAATGAATTATCCTAATAATGATAGTACTTTTTATAAATTGAACTATAAGGTGTAGTGTAGGATCCAGAATACTGATAGTATATAACATTTAATGTATATATTATGACCTAAAACCAATAAATTATTAATAAATTGATACTGGTGTTTGGTGTTTTCTATTGATTTTTTATCACTTTTATTGAGTATAATACAACTTTCATCAACGAACAATTTCCCAATTTTAATTATTTTTTCTTGACAAACGTTATCAACTCAAAAAGAATATGAACAATTGGCAGGTAAACAGCCAGGTAAATTCATAGATATACAGGGTGTCACGAAAGGTTTGTTACAAACTTCTAGGGATGGTAGATTTCGTAAAAATAAAACTTTTTTCTTAATAAACATGTGTCCGGAAATGCTTCGTTTTCCAGATATACAGGGTGGCCCAAATTTGAGCTTCATAATTGGGATCTCGGTAACCGTAAGAGATACGGGGTCGGTTAAATTATGGCAAAGTTGCGCAATTTTATCACCAATAGAATACCGTTTTGAAACTAGAAAGATTCCGAATACTTCCGGAGATATTCGGAAAAAACCAAAATTTTGTAATATCGTTTTTATTTTTTCCCGGGCTTATTTGAAAAGCAATTACCGCTAATTTATAACGATTGCGTGCTTTCTATAATTTCACGAGTCCGCAGGACGAGTGAAATTTGCAAAGAAAACACGCATGAGTGAAAAATTATCTGGTTTTTTTTTTTAAAGCTCGATTGGTATTTAGAGGATTATTTCACCAATAAAAATGTATACAATAACATGGGAGAATTATCGCTGTAATTCTCTCTAGTTAAACTAAGAATTTTCGCTGTAATTTTGAAAATCGTCACTTGGCTTATGGGATTTCTAACACATGAGTGGAATAATCGAAAAAAAGCATTTATCCTAATTTTGACCTGCCACCATTTCGGCAGGGTTAATAGTAGCAACTTAAAACTTCTGGGATATAATCTCAATGAAAATAGCTACCAAATTACATATCACTCGACCCCTCTTTCCATTTGAAGTTTTGAGGGTACCTGTTACCCCCACTTAGGGGTTCACAGGTAGGGGGTGAAAATACCAATAAAATGTGTCCCCCAAAAAACAAAAATTGACGTGTCTGAGCGATTTTTGATTAAACACCTAACACCTGAGGAAACCTGGGTGGAAAGTTTTTCGTGCCCCACCCGGTATATATCCTATTCACAATCCGTAGTCCGAAGGTGTAGGTAAATTAATCACCTTTCCGTATCAAAATAGCACTGAAAGGTGTTACATTTTACCTTTACCCTTGGACATCGAATTGTGAATAGATAATATGTAAGATAGCAGGGCTGGAACTCTGTAACTGATAGCGATCAATATCTCTATCTCTAGTGGCGTCCCCTCTTTATTGATTTCGATAAGAGAGAAGAAGACATAGCAAGTGCCATAGCGATAGGGATAACGATCTCTATCCGTTAGAGTTCCAGCCCAGGCTTCACAAAATCACATCCTCATTAATAATAATGCAATATTTTCTCTAAAACAGAATTTTATTCAAAAAAAAAATGACACAACAATACAAATGATGATAACAACGATGAGGGTTGATAGTTCAAAGATGTGCTTTAATATAAGACTCGATAAGACTATATTAAAAATAATAAATAATGAAAAATCACAATAATTACGTCCATTTTAATATAATACATACTGCCACCACATTTATATAAACTGAGTCTTAAAAAAAAACAAAATATGAAAGAAAATACCTAATACAGAATATCTACAAAACACTAAAACTTCGTGTAAAAAGGATAAAAAAATATGAGGCCCTCTTAAGAAATATTTACCTATTTTGACACAAACCCCACTATCCCAAAAATTACACAAGATATCAATTGGTCAACAAACAGTAGCACAAAAACCCGCATTTAATTTTCACGAAAAATTTTCTCTAAAATAGTTTTCATTGCCTATAATTCATCGTGGACGTCTGCTTCACCATCTCTTGATCCTGCTATGTGACATGCAGCTGGTGTTTCGAAATCAAAAGCATACTCACATCTGAAATAATGAAAATCTTTAAAAATTAATAATTATTTATTTATTTACGCATAAAAAATACAGACATTGAAGTGGTACTGTGACGTGATATTTCATTCAGCCTGTTTAGATTGAAAAAAAATCCAGCTTATGCTAGTTGGATTGTTCTCACCTGTTTGGTTCTGAAACACTAGTAACTTTATTTTCTCCGCCACAGAACAGATTGACTTTTGTGGATCGATTCGGACCATTCCAACAATTCTGACCATTGTCGTACAACATTGCGCTATAAGAATTACCACTGGGTCCATCCCATTTGCCCCATCTAAATAAAATTGAATTAAATTATTGTACAATATACTCAGGCCCTTTACCTTCCCAAACTCGTTTCCATAGAGTTTGAATTGGGAATTTGTACAGTCTTTTCAAATGGACAAAGTTTGTAAGTGTATTCGAGGTTTTTAAACTCGAAACATTGGCCTTCGAGAGAGGCGAATTCTTCTTCAGGGCCGAAATCCTTTTTAAGGCTTTCTTCTATTTGTCTTATTTGGTCGTTAATTGATTTGACATCCCTATCAGCATCTGAAAAGGTTTTTTTTTTTAGTATATTGAATTTGGAATTGTAAATTTGATTACCATCATATTGATTCCTAGCTTCAGTAGCTTGATCTACCAATTTTTGAGTTTCTTCATCATACTCAACTTTGTGTTCTTCCTCTTGAGTTTCTTCTGGCTCTGCTTCTTCCTCATCTTCTTCATCTTGTTCTATTTCGCCTAAAAAAAACACTATTAAAGAAAAAAAATACATATTAAAACAATTTAAATACCTTCTTCAAGTTCCCCTAATGATTTTTCTTGTTCTTCATGTCCTTCCTGTTCTTCGCCCTCTAATTCTGAATCAGTCACAGGTGGTTTATACATGCTAGAATCAATAGAGACAAAAGGTTTCATCAAAGGCCACGATTTTTCAATGAAAGTTTCTAATTCGACAGAGTCTTGGTTGTTAAGGAAAAGTTTGGCTTCTTCTTCTGATACTTGTCCATTGCGGTCCCTGTCAAAGGATGATCGGCTTTGAATTTCTGCAATGTCAATTAGACCGTCTTGATTGCTGTCGAATTTTTTAAAGTTTTCTAGTGCTTCTTCTTTGAGTTTTTCAGCTTCTTGTTCAGCTTTCTGAAAATATCAAATTATTGTTTGCTGCTACATATTTCAATAAAAAAAATTATAAGTAAGTAGTTACCTTCTTTTTGTATTGATCTTCTAATTCTCTATAATATTCTAAAGCCTTGTTTTCTAGTTCTTCAGCTTTTTTCTTGATTTCCTCACGTTCCAGTCTTACATTTTCAGCCTCTTCTCTATTTTTAGCTAGCTCGTTCAACTTTTCTTGTTTCTCGTTTTTCATTTTTTGGCCTTCTTGAGCAAGTTCAGCTCTTAGTTGTTTTCCTAGAAAAATATAAAAAACTTGCTGCACTTGTTGTTGATTAAATGTAAACTAGTAATAGTTAGTAACAAAACCACTGCAAACTTATTAAAATTTAAAACTTTGACTTGCCAGATGTTTCATTCTTACTATCTGAAACAATATCAGTACTTAAATTTTGGATTTTCTCAAAAATACAGGGAAAGTCAAACATTTTCCCCTATTCAGTCCTCGTTGGGTGACCATGTATTACCTACTTACCAACTTTGAACAATTCTGCTAATCTAGCTGCTTCCTCCCTAGCTGCTCTTCCAACTTCCAAACAGTTATTCACGCAAGTTTTTTTGCCAGAATATTCATCAGTACCGTCACAGCAATCGCATATGCCATCGTTGACCCTAAGAAAATTCGCTCAAACATTTTATTTTAGATTTGCTGTTAAAATTACCTGTCTGAAGATAATATTTCGGGTTTAAATCCTGCATTGGTACACTGGAAGCTGCCTCCCGGACAAGCACTTGTGCCTGGTTCGTCACTACCATCGGGACAGTCACAGTAGTCATCATTTACCTACAAAAAAAAATTCTCACTTTTTAAGAATCGTTTTTGGTAATTTGTATTTCTAGAGGAGTTGGAAAAAATCTGACCCCCACTTGCGAGTCTCGATTTTCAAGAGAAGTTGACCGGTGAAACCCGCATCTCGATATCTGGATTCGTTTTTAAGCTCCAAAAAGTTATAGACCCCCTGCCAAACTCCAACTTTTCAAAAACCCCTCGTAGCATGAAAACGACTCGACATATCGAGATGCGGTTTTCACCCGTCAATTTCTCTTGAAAATCAAAACTCGCAAGTGGCGGCGAGATCTTTTCCAACTCCTTTAGAAATACCCGAAACCTCCCAAAACCATCGAATCTTGGACACCCTGGGACACAAGGTGTTTCCTCATATTTTGACCCCTACCTTCAGCTTTAACTATACCATGTGGAAAAAAAAAACTTTAAATATACTTAAACGTGACAAAATAGTTCCTTAAATGGGGTTAGTTAATCATGATTAAAACAGGCAGACTATTTACCAAAAACCTATAATCATGATAAAGCAAAGGAAAAGAATGGTCCATTAAAAATAACTCGAAAAATAACAATATTATAATTATGATTAAATAATGAGGGGTCATTTACAATGGGATATCCTGTGTACACTATGCAGGAGATATCCAAAACACTTCAGGGATGTCTTAGGAGGTTTAGGGAGTCAGGGTAGGCAAAAACCCGGATTTTTGAAAATTTCTATTGGAGTTTAGTGCTTTTGTAGGATTTTTCGTTTACTCAACTTGACAAAATTGTATATTTCTCTATTAGTTCATTAGGGGTCAGTTCCTCAAAGCTTGACTATTTTTCCTTAGGATTTTTATTTTGCTCGTTATTTTGTTTAATATAAATAAGAAAAATATGAATAATCCGGGATTTATTGTTATTAATCCTAACTTTAGTTTTCTCAAGGGGTAAACCACCATCCCAGAATTTGTATAAAAAATTCCTCAAAGGGAATTTTTTTTTCGCATAATTCCTCAAAATTCCTCCAAATTCACCACAAATTCCTCCAGATACCAGATACCCCATCACAAATTCCTCCAAATACCCCACCACAAATTTCTCCAAATACTCCACAAATTCCTTTAAATTCCCTGCAAATTCCTCCAAATTCCCGCAAATTCCTCCAAACTCGTCTCAAATTTCCCACAAATGTCTCATAAAAATCTAGAGACCTTTTCCTAAAAGTTGAACAGGTTTACAAGACCATAATCAATAAATTTAATCTGAACCTCAGCATAGTCAGGCTGAGTAGGCCAAATGAATGTGTCTAATTCCTTTTTCAATAATTTGGAAATAAGTAAACCCTTTTTTCAACGTTCAGCCTTTTTTCCATAATATGATGCTAAGATACATACTCAGATTTGGATACAGATAAACTTGTATCAACTTCAAGTAGCTTGAAGGAATCTTGGAAATCAACCTACAATAACTGAATTAATTGAAATTACAGTCTCACACATTTCAAAGTTTTGCTGGAAAACTAATGAAGGGAAAAGTTTAAAACTTTTTGCATGTAAAGAGGAAGGTTAGAGGCTAATTTTCCCAATATTTTAAATTTTTCCAGTAGAAAATAACAACATAAGGAATCTTGGAAATCAACCTACAATAACTAAAAAATTGAAAATACAGTCTCACACATTTCAAAGTTTTCCTGGAAAACTGGCGAACGCAAAAGTTCAAAACTTTTTGCATGTGAAGAGAAGCTTGGAAAGGTTAAAGGGTCATTTTCCCAAAATTTCAAATTTTTTTGCAGTGGAAAATAACAACATGAAGAATCTTGGAAATCAACCTCCAATAACTGAATTAATTGGAAATACAGTCTTACACATTTCAAAGTTTTCCTGGAAAACTAGTGAAGGGAAAAATTTGAAACTTTTTGCATGTAAAGAGGCAGGTTAGAGACTCATTTTCTCGAAATTTTAATTTTTTCCAGTGGAAAATAGCAACATGAAGAATCTTGGAAATTAATTTACAAAATCTGAACTAATTGAAAATACTATCTCACACATTCCAAAGTTTTCCTGGCTGGAATACTAGTGAAGGGAAAAATTTTAAACTTCTTGCATGTGAAGAGGAAGGTTAGAGACTCATTTTCCCAAAATTTCAAATTTTTCCAATATAAAATAACAACATAAAAAATCTTGAAAATCAACTTACAATAACTGGATTAATTAAAAAAGATGCCTCACACAATTCAAAGTTTTCCTGGAAAACTAGTGAAGGAAAAATTTAAAACTTTTTGCACGTGGAGAGGAAGGTTAGAAGCTCATTTTCCCATAATTTCAAATTTTTCCATTGGAAAATAACAACATGAAAAATCTTGGAAATCAACTTACGAAAACTGAATTAATTGAAAATACAGTCTCACACATTTCAAAGTTTTCCTGGAAAACTAGTGAAGGGAAAATTTTGAAACTTTTTGTATGTAAAGATGAAGGTCTGAAGCTCATTTTCCTAAAATTTCAAATTTTTCCAGTGGAAAACAGCAACATGAAGAATCTTGGAAATCAACCTACAAAAACTGAATTAGTTGAAAATACCGTCTCACACATTTCAAAGTTTTCCTGGAAAACTAGAGAAGGGAAAAATTTGAAACTCTTTGCATGTAAATAGGAAGGTTAGAAGCTCATTTTCCCAAAATTTCAAACTTTTTCAGTGGAAAATAACATGAAGAATCTTGGAAATCAGCCTACAAAAACTGTACTCATTATTTTTTTAAATTTTTTAAATTTGGACCTGTAAATCATGAAGTGAAATTTTCGGAGAATTTCTTTAATAAAAATGAATGACCAACATCCAACACACAACTAGATTTTTTTTAAATTTCCATTTATTAGTGTTTCTTATAATAAGAATGTGAACCTCAGTGACGTTGTGACCCTACAATTTCCTTCAAATTCCTCATAAATTCCTCACAATTCCTCCAAACTCCCCATAAATTTCTCCAAATTCCCTATAAATTTCCCAAATTTTCATAAATTTCGATGAGTTCCTTCAAATTCATCACAAATTTCTCTAAATTCCCCAGATTTTTGGCAAAGAATTCCTAGGTGGTTTGCCCCTTGAATTTTCTTTACATTTATTTTCAGATTTTGTGATTTGCTTATGCACACCGCACAAAAATTATCCCATCACCAATGCTTTTAAATATTTTGACTACAGTAAATTTATTTTAAAATTTCCTAAGTATTCCCTGAATGGGCATGCTTTAACTGAAAAACTTGAGTCAAAAAACATGTCGTTTCTTCTTCTGTTAGGTTCTTGTTTACTATTTTCGGGAAAATGCGGATAGGCATATATTCCACTTTGTAATTATGCTGTTCATTTCTGTGTTTTCTGCTTTGATGGCGATAATTTTCGTGCGGTGTATATCTCCAGATATCTCAAATTCAGAACAATGTCATGTGTATTTTAAATGGACAATAATTTGAAGATTCTAAGAATGAAATCATGAAAAGTTCTAGATTCTATAGGCTCATCTTATTTACAGCTATTTAGATTTTGTCAAATTTAAAGCTAAAATACAGCTCAGATAACAAAGATGGAGTTTTTCAGCTTTTTAACTATCAGATTCTATGATTTACTTATATTTTTTCTGAGCCTCAGATCCAAAGAGAGATTTGAGAAGAAGCTTCATTGGCTCATAAAACTTGGAGCCAAGTTTTGAATTTCTCAGATCCAGAACAAGAATGTTGGTGTAGTGGAGTGGTTTTTTTCTCTTTACTACTCTCATTTTTCATTCCAATTGTTGCCTAATTGAGACCAGTAAATTATTAACATTTGAAACAAATTCAAGAGCCTGGAATAGGAAAATTACTGTAATACTTCAGCATATTGTTTTAACCCTGTAAAATTCTTTAAGTATTTATTTAGGTAATGTTATTAATCCTAACTTAAGTTTTCTTTGAATTTAATTTCTGGTTCTGTGAATTGCTTATATTGTATTCCTCGGATTATTCCCAGATATCTCGGATTCAAAGCAAAGCCATGTGTATTTTAAATGGTTTTGAATATTCTCTCTATTCTAGAAATGAAATATTCAAGAATAAGTTTTAGATTCTATAGGCTCGCTCATCCGAGGGGTTGTTAACTGGTCAAAATCTGTGTACAAGTAGTCAAAATCCCAGAAAATCTCATAAGATCTATTCAAAATCCCTAAAAATCTTCGAAATCCTTAAAAATTTAACAAAATCCCACACAATTTCTTGAAATTGCATAAAATCCTACAAAAATGAAATTTTGTTATTTCATTAAAACCAAAAAAGTCCTGCAAAATCTCATAAAATCATTAAAATTCCTAAAAAATATTTCCTTTGAGATTCCCAAAAATCCTTTGAAATCCCCAAAAATCTGTTAAAGTCTCTCAGAATTCCATAATTTAGTGGAATTTCGAAAAATTTCGGTAGAATTATGTTATTCTGAAAAAGGAATTACATGTGAAATTTTTGCAGAGTTTCCATAGAATTCACATTAAATTTTAGTTCCTCTCGAATTACATGAAATTTCAGTGAAATTCCGATCGAATTAAATGAAATCCTGAATAAATTGCATGGAGGAATTCTAAACAATTATATGAAATTACACCAAAATTCCGAACATGAAATTTCAGTTCTTACTGAATTTTAGTAAAATTCCAGAAAATTCCACAAGTTGAATGCCGAGGAATTTCAGGCTAAAAACATGGACTTTCGGTTATTCATGAAATTTCAATATATTTCGGTGAATTTTCAAGAAATTACTTGAAGTTTGATCAATATTCCCAGAAATTCCTGGCTATTAAAACAGAATTTCAGTGAAATTCAGAAAAATTCTTATGAAAATAAATGAAATTTTGAAAAATTCCTTGAAGTTTCATTGGACTTTCAAAAAATCTTCGACTATGGTGAAATTTCAAAATATTCTCATAAAATTTTAGTGAATTCCGAGGAATTTTTAAGAAATCACATGAAATTCCAAAGAATTTTATGAAAATTTTGTGGAATTCCAGGATATTTCAGTGGTGAAGTTTTAGGGAATTTCAGTAAAGTTTTAAAAAAATTATGGAATTTGGCATTTCTATAGAATTTTGGAGAATTTCGGTGGGATTTCGAAAAAAAAATAAAAAATTATGAAATATTCGCAGAATTTCCATCAAATTATATATAATTTCACTTTGTATCGAATTACATAAAATTTCGTTGAAACGTCGAGTAAAATTCCAAGGAATTCTTGTCGAATTACATACATGGAATTCCTTGAAATCTTATTGTGGAATTCCAGTGAAATTAGGTACATGGAATCTGAAGAATTCCCTTGGAATTGAACAGAATTTCCGTGGAATTTCTATGGAACCACGTGAAATTTCGACGGAATTCCGAAGAATTGAATTAAATTTTAGTGGAATTCTGAGTATGTAATTTCTGTTGAATTACTCGAATTAAATGAAATTTTAATGGAATTCCAAGAAATTTCATGAAATCTGTTACTGTAATTCCGAGGAATTTTTGTACAAGAATACCATTGAATTTTATGGTGAAATTCCATGGAATCTTATAGTGAAATTCGGAAAAGTATTATGAAATCTTATGGTAAAATTTCTAGGATTTTCTGTTTTTCTATTCAAATTTGTCATTTGAATTTAGAATCTCTAAAAACTTTTTAAAAACCCGTATAATGCTCCAGAATCACCTAAAATTTAGAAAATCTAAAATCTTATTCTGAATAAAATTTAACAGATTCTCAGAAAATCCCTTAAAAATCACTTGAAATCGCATAAAATTTCCAAAATCACTCAAAATTTTATTAGAACAAAAAAAATCCGGCAACATCTTATAAAATCATTAATATGTATTCCTAAGAAAAAAAAAATCAATCAAAATTTCCAAAAATCCTTTGGAATCCTCAAAAATCCGTTAAAATTTCTAAAAATCCTCTAGGATCTCTAATGGCCGTTTCCACCAACTATTTTAGGGGAGCTTCAACAATAAGTATTCCTTAAAATGACAGTCTTCTATGGAGAAATGTCAGTTTAAAAAATACTTATCATTAAAGCTCCCATAAATTAGTTGGTAAAAACGCCATAAAACCCCTTTCTAAATGATCCAAAATACCCTAAAATACCTCTAAAATCTTTCAAAATCCTGTAAAATCACGTGAAGTTCCTCAAAATCCTCAAAATCCTACAAAATCAATAAAGAATTAATTATGAACATATTTTATGGAGTTAATTAAACTTCGAGCGGTTAATTGATGAAAATTTGTATACAAGTTGGTCAAAATCCCAGAAAAACTCTTAAGATCTACTTAAAATCCCTGAAAATCTTTAAAATCTTTAAAAATCTAACTGAGAATCCTCGCGAGAATCTAACATTTTATTGGAACAAAAAAAAATCCTTTAAAATTCCTGATAAAAAAAATTCCTTTAACAATTCCAAAAATCCTTTGGGATCCCCAAAAATCCGTTAAAATCTCCAAAAAACCATTCTAACTTTCCTAAAATGAATGCTCCAAAATTACCTAAAATCTTTTAAAATCCTGTAAAATCATATGAAGATTTTCAAAATCCTCAAAATCCTACAAAATCAATGAAGATTTAAAATCTCTGTACCTACATATTTTAAGGAGTTAATCATCCCTTGGGCTCATCTTATTTACAGCTATTTAGATTGGGAGATTTTAGGACACCTGAAAAAATTTTAGAGTGATCCCGGGTAATCTGGGAAAATCTGTGGGTATCTTTTGCATTTACATACACTTAAATATATTGTAACTAACCCAACTAACCCCTCGCTAAATAATTATCCTGATTGAAAGGCGTTGGTAGATAGAAAATTAATAAAGTATACTTATATATATTTGGAAACTGGAGAAAAAGGTCTTTCACTAGAGCTGAAAATATACAGGGTGTTCCATTTAAAAAAATGATTTGGTCTTTTACTATAATCTTGCGATTCACGTACTTATGTGTTTGTTCTTGAAATCTACCTAAAGTCCGTCGATTTTAATCTGATACTGAAAAGGAATGTGAGCTGGTGACACCCTACATTAGAACGCCAATGGTTACCTGACATCACACCTCTTTTTGCCATATACTTCACCCCCTCGCTCCTCATACGGAAAGTGTCAGATAAAAATCAACGAACAATACTACTGATGAAAGTGTACAACTTTCATATTTAAAGTTTTTTTCCACCTCGTAGAAATAAAGCTGTAGGTACTTTAGGTAGGGGTTAAAACATGAGGAGACACCGAGGGAGACACCCTGTAATAAGTAATTTGAAATCGGTGTGTACACGACATTATATAAGGTACATTTTCATACAAAAGCTAATACACTTAAAGTAAACTTTATCAGGAGATAAAAAGTGAATACCTACTTATTCAATTGAAAGTGAACTTTTATAGAAAAAAAAAAATGATTACTGAAATAAGTGAATTCAAGGAAGTTCTCCAGTTTACCTATTTGAGATGTTTGAGCTGAATTATTCATGGAACATGTACATTCATTAAAAATCTACCACGACTCGAAACTTTTCCCTAAACAAACCAATGTTTACATACAATTCTTGGTGTTATAAATACAAAAATAGATGTAGAATTCGTACCTGATCAAATGGAATAGTGTTGCTTCCATCGAAGCAAGTAAAATCTTTCTCTGGATCATATAGAGCGAGTCTGGATAGTGAAACGCCTCTTGGTCTCGGAACTTCTACGCTGGATCGACCGACCCCAATAAAGGGCAATATCAAAAATAGTAAATTTAAGTTAGAAATTCGAAAAGATGTAAAAATATTCATTTTGGTTCGCCGGCTAGAGGAAAATGTGGGATAGACTAGCGATAGAGGGGGCACAAGAAGCACCATTGACCATAGGATTTGTTTTTTGTTCCACCTGTTTTTGACAACTCTGTCAATAATCGCTGGAGACACGTCAGGTTTTATTGGGATTTTTCGTTTTTCTATTTGTGTGGTTGGTACTACAATACCAAATATCGTTTGTGACGTCACCATAGATGCTGAATGATGAACGTTGCATGATAATTTTTTTCTACTACCGTGCGTAAAGTAGTTACTTTACGCACTACTCAGAAGACGCAAAGTTTTACTTCACGAACTAGTGCGTAAAGTAATTCACATCACAAACTAGTACGTGAAGTAATGTCAATGTCAATGACAGATGTCGACACTGTCAATTTAGCATTTTTCTGGTAAATTACTTCACGCACTAGTGCATAAAGTGAAAATACTTCACGCACTAGTGCGTAACGTTTTTGTCTAAATCTATTTTTTTACACATATTTGATCCGCGCTGAATAGCCGAACTCACCGATAATAGAAGATTTCTATATTTGGCATAGTGTTACCAACCTAAACATGTGAAATCAGGAAATATGAGAATAAAATTTCCAAGAAAAATTTGTTTTTTTTTAATTAAACAATACCAAAATAGAAAAAATAGTATAAAATATTCGTTTCATAAGACATTTTATCGCACTCGCCCTTTAGAAAACTCGCCTCAGGGCTCGTGCGATAAAATGACGTCTTATGAAACTTGTATTTTAATGTACTAATTTCCTACTAGTGTGCGTAAAGTACTCACTTTACTCCTTCGGCTCGTGCGTCATAATTCACATCCGTGAAAAGAGGTTCACTTTACACACTCGTTGCATAAATAGCTATTTTCTCGCAGAAATTGGCAATAATAAAAAAATCCACATGGTACCAAAGGTCTTTTATTGAAATAAAGGTTGTTAAAACAAGCTTTCCGAATCAACAGCTGAATTGAAAAAAAAATTAGTTACACAAAATAATTATTGACTAACAGCAGCATTGGCAGCTATACTTGGACTATTAATAACTTCGCCAAGACTTTCCAGCAATTCTTTCCTATAATCATCAAAGTCCCCATCAAGTTCGTTAATAGTTTGATGTTCTATAATATACAAGGCACAACTAGTTTCTCTGATGAGTCGTTCGTCGTGAGATACTATTATCACCCCACCAGTGTATTCATTTATAGCATCAGCTAACGCATCAATTGATTCAATATCTAAATTATTCGTAGGTTCGTCCAAAATCAACACATCTGGAGCATTGAGACACAGTTCGGCTAAGGCAACTCTGGCTTTTTGACCACCGGATAAATCTTTCATTTTAATTGTGTGAGCGTGACTGGCAAGTCCAAAAGTTCCTAATTGTTTTCTAGCCTTTTCATAAGGTAAATCGAATAGCCTCATCAAGTATTCAGATGGAGTTTCTTCGGCTGTTAAATGTTCACCTGAATGCTGATCAAATCTTCCAATTCTTAATCTATGGTTTCTGCGAGCTTCTCCCTCTTGTGGCGTTAATTCTCCAACAAGTAATTTCAAGAATGTTGACTTTCCTACTCCATTAGGACCTACAATAGCTACTCTGCTGGTCATGTCGATACCAAAATCTGTTTTAACAAAAAGAGGCTTTTGACCTGAATAGGCAAACGTGCAATTGTGTAGTCCAAGAACTGGAGGCTGCAGTGGTGGAGGTTCGGGGAACCTAAATTTAACCATATATTCTTTTGGTCTTTGTAAAAGTTCTTGCGGCAAAGCACCATCCTCTTGTTTTTGAGTTTTACTCCTATTTTTCTCTTGTTTTCTTGTAAGGGCTTCTTTCTGTTTCTTCTCAGCTTGTTTTTTAGAAGATCCAGAAGATTTCAGCTCTTTTATCCGCTTCTCCTGCTTTTCATATTCTTTAATCATTTCTTTTTTCTTTTGAACATACATTTTTTTAAACATTGAATAATTCCCCTTATAATAATAAAGCTTGAGATTATCAAGATGAATAATTTCATTACAAACATTATCCAAAAACGACTGGTCGTGAGAAACAATTAGCAATGTCTTTTTCCAGCCCTGTAAATAATTGTCAAGCCAAATGACAGCGTTAAGATCCAAATGATTGGTAGGTTCATCTAGTAACAAGAGAGTTGGCTCAATATAAAGCGCTCTAGCAAGCGAGACTCTCATTCTCCAACCTCCAGAAAAGTTTTTGGTTGCTCTGTCTTGCATTTTCTTTGTAAACCCAAGACCAGCTAAAATTCTTCTAGCCCTGGGTTCAGCAGAATCTGCACCAATAGCTTTTAGTTCAACATATACTTCATTCAATCTTTCTTGCACTTGTAAATCTCCAGCATTGAATTGTTCTTCTAATTTAGTTTGTTCTGCTAGAAGTGTATTTCTTTTAATGTCAGCATTCAATACTGTTTCAACAGCTGTAAAGTCATCGGCTACAACTTCTTGCTCACAATACAATATATCAATGTTTGGTGGGATGGCAAATGCTTTCTGAGCAATGTGTCTTAGCAGTGTAGTTTTTCCATGGCCATTAGGGCCAACTAGACCATAATGTCTGCCATTGGCTATTAGCAGATTGGCGTTAGTAAATAGTTCATTACCTTTTGCAGAAATACTAAAATTCTCAATCTTAATATCAACAGCATTTTCAAGAGCGGCCAACTGACCAGCAGTTTTTTGAGCTTGAGATACTGTAAAGTTGCTGTCAAGATCTGAGTGTCCTTGTCCACCCTTTCTAAGCATATTTTCCATTTGCTTTTCATATTCTTGCAGCTTTTTGAGTTTCTTTTTTTCCTTGTGGGTTATTTTCTTTTCTTTTTCATTGCCAAGATCAAGGGATTTGGTTTTTTCTATAACTTCTTCTAATGCTTGTTCTCCCGCATCACCTTGACCTTCAATGGCTGTTTCTGCGTCTTCAGATGACTCTTTTTTTAGGGCTACAGGTTGATCCTGTGTGTATTTCTTGTCCTTTTTGCTCTTTAGTTTTTTGGGATAAGGTAATGGTTCCTCCTCGAGTTTCTCTTGTAATATTGGTTCAGCTGATTTTATATCCTGCTCTGCTTCACTATCTTGGTTTTTTTCTTCATCACTTTCATCAAACTTTTTCTTTTTGTCTTTTTTACTTGATTTTTTAGGTTCTGGTTTGGCAGGTTCTTCTTCTGAGTCATTCTCTTCAAACTTAAAATTTTTGATATTTTTCTTGTTTGATTTTTTGGGGAGTAGTTTGATAGATTCCCCATCTGAGTCAACTGCTTCATCTTTGTCACTTTCATCAATTTTCTCTTTGTTTTTGTTCTTTTTAATAGACTTTTTTGGAGCTATAATTCCTTCATCATCAGTTGAAATGTTTAGATCTATTTCAACTTCTTTATCAGACCAATCATCTTCATTTTTCTTTTTACCTTTTTTCGCTGGTTTCTTGGCTTTTTGGACTGGTTTGGGAGCATCTCCTGATCCATGTGGCTTGGCTTTGGGTTCTTCCTCGTCACTACCGTCACTTTTTCTAGTAGGTTTCCCTTTCTTTAGCGCCTTAGTTTTGCTTCTAGTGTTGATTTCAGATATATTGTTGGACTTGGTCTCAGTTTCCAATTCGTCATCAAAATCTTTGTTTTTCTTGTTTCCCCTTTTCTTGGACATGTTGAGAGATTGAAAAAAAAAATTCAACTGAAAAGGAAAAAAAAAATTAGAGATAAGGTATCAAATCACTTGGAAGTCACGCTGATTGGTTAGATTAAGGGGCAATGAGTTAGATGTTTGAAGTAGGCAGTGGCCACTCTCCTCAAGGAATGATTTAAAATGAGAAATTCGGCATCATCACATTTGTGGGACTCTGACGGCACAGTGCAATATGTTAAGACTGTTCCCACAAATATATGCACTTATTTCATAAAATTATGTAAATCTCAGAAAGCAATGTACGCAAACTCAAGAATAAGTTTAAAATATCAATTAAATTTGTATAAATCATACTCACAGTATTTCCTCAATAGAAATATGTGCAATTCACATCAGTATTTGGTCGTCTATTGAATGGTTTTTCACCAAACAAAATCGCTGAGAGTTTGTGATTTCTGTGAATTTAAATTTCTGTCTTCAGGGGCATTTAAAGTACATGATTTTTTTGAAAAAACGAAATCAAAGAATGAGGAATTTTATTTTGAAAGTGGAAAATTGCATATTAGTACAACATGAGAAGGAAGAACCTTGATTCTTGAACACGTAAATGTGGGGTTATGGTGACGCTGAACTTCTTTTATAACTGTGATTGATCAGAACAGGTTTCGTTCACTTCGGAGCAAAACGAGCAGATCGGTCTCCATTATTTTTTTTGGGAGCTTCCCGAGTAAACCTTTTTTTATCGATATACGCAGAAACTATTTAGGGCGGGTATTATAAAACTGCTTTGACAGTTAACTTAAAGTTAACTTTTTGAATTACATGTATTTTCAGAAGTTAACTTTAAGTTAACTCTCAAAGTAGTTTTATAATACCCGCCCTTAATAGCATTTTCTGCGAGGAGCAACGCTCCGTTTTAAGCTGAACATGTGAATCCGTTTCACATCGCTTTTTGATCAATCGGGTGCAGTTTTGAGACAGAAGTCGAAAGCGCTATAAATTTGAACTTCCTACTTTGGGATGTTCGCGTTCGATTGTCCCTTGCGTTCGGTATTTTGCTCGAAGAGCAGAGCATGATTACAGTGATTCTATTACCCACAGTGGCGAAAATTGCTGTCTTATTTTTGATTGGTTCTAAAATCCCATATATTTGTATTGAAAACGCGGCCATCTTGTTCCCACCTATTGCTTATTTCAAATATGAATATATGGGATTTGGGTGAACATCCATCATAAAACATGGAAAACGACGTATTTGATGGACCTAATAATAGTCATCAAATACGTCGATTTCAATTTTTTATGATAGATGTCCATTTAAATACTATATATTATTATTTAAAAGTAACAAGAGGTTGGGAACAAAATGGCGGCGGTACCTCTATTGTCGCCACTGTATGTAAAGGTTTATTTAGCCACTGTAAGCATGATGAGCGGATCCGTAATCACGTGATCAGCGAGCGAACGAAGCAGACTGAATCAGGGTGCCCGAAATTATAATAAACGAACGCGAATGCGCACTGTTTAGTTCATGTTCAACCAGAGCTGCTTTCGGGAGCCACCCTTTGAGCGCTCCCGAGTTACTCCGAAGTAGTTTATTTTAGGCAGTGGATAGAGGTCCGAAAATTCGGATCTCTAGTGTTCATACTAAAGTTCCGATAATTCTCGGATTTTCAATTTGTATATTAGGGGTCCGAAAATGCGGATCTTCAGTGGTATTATTGAAGATCCGAAAATAGATGTTTATTTCTAATTCTGTCGTAATTAAGGAATATTATACCATTTCAATAAAATTGATAAAATGCTTGTATTTTTAAGGATTTATACTAGAAAAAATGAATCCTTTAATCCTTTTTATGTAGAATAGCTAATCAAGTTTACTCGAAAATATTTGGTTGGTGCAATTCCAAACAGAAAAGTACAAAAAACAAAAATAAGTACCTTTTTATTTTTTTAAAACATTACATAAGTAAAAATAAATATTTCTTATTTTAAGGGTTGATAGGAGCTGGGTTCGGCTATTCAGCGCGGAGTTGGAGTGGAGTGAACAGAGCCAATGGAGTCAGCCATAATAGTACGGTAAAAAGCAATACCCGAACCCTAAAGCCTAGTACTCATAACTGCGAAATTCGCATTTTTTTGACATTGGTTCGACAATTTGACGTTTGATACACGCATAAAACGTCAGATTGTCAACGCAATGTCACAAAAATGCGAATTTCGCAGTTATGAGTACTAGGCTTTAGGGAGGATTTTCATGCATCCGTTTTTCCGTCGAAATATGTCCGTTTAACATTATATTTTGACATATTTATATACGATTATGTCAGAATAGAATGTTAAACGGACATATTTCGTCGGAAAAACGGATGCATGAAAATCCTCCCTAACCCGAACGGCTGGAGTGCGAATGGAGTCACTCGGAGTGCACGGAGTGAGCAAGCCGAACCCACCTAGGGTAAGAGGTGTGAGGCGTGATTTAGTTCCTTCTGCACTGCATGCAAAACCAGGCTTTCTTACTAGAAGGCAGCTGAACAACACACTTTATGTTTACACCGAAGACATGAATCACACCGTAAGCAATCTTCATGTATCACTTTGTTACATATATCACAAATCGATTTTAGAATACTATTTTGTTTTTCTCCAATTCGTTTTTATAATAAAACATAAGAATCCAGACAAAAATATGTTTCTATTTTTATTTTTGAAGTTTTTATGTAATGGTTTGCTTACCAAATCATCTGTACCTATTTAAAACTGCATTAAGCATTATCTGGTGCCTCAGTTCAGTTTAGGAACACTTCATTTTTGAATAAAACACTTTTATTTTTCTTAGACCTTTTTAGTCCAATTGCAGTTAATTGATGTCCCTTGGGTCTTCCTTTACGGGTTTTAAAGGAAATTTAATACTTTTTATTTTTTCTTCTTCTTCGCAAATATCTACAAAGAATAATATTCAAGTTAAGTCTGTTTCTGCAGAAATCACAAATTAGCCAGAGCAAATTTCATTGGTTGAAAACAGTCAGAAAACTAGTATCAACCAATGAAATTCACTCTGACTGGTTTGTGATTTCTGCAGAAACACACTTATCTCGAATATTATTCTTTGTAGATACTTGCGACGATACTCCTTAATTAGACAGAATTAGAAATAAACATCTATTTTCGGATCTTCAATATTACCACTAAAGATCCGCATTTTCGGACCCCTAATATACAAATTGAAAATCCGAAAATTATCGGATCTTTAGTATGAATACTAGAGATCCGAATTTTCGGACCTCTATCCACTGCCTTTATTTTATTTATTTATTTACTCCGCCTATAGTTTGACCCGTTCGGTTTCAAGCGTTCGAGGGCAAAACACATGTAGGCTGTTTATTTGTACCGCTTTTCTTGCTTCAAGCAGATCTCAGCAGATCGGCGTTCACTTGTCCCATAACCCTCATATAATAAGCTCCAATTTAATCGCTCCAATTTACAAGGATGAAACGGGTGTTCCACTTTTTGTGCTCACGACTGTACAAGTGGATAGCCTATGGAGTTATGACAGGTGTAAGGTGTTCTAGAAGCTTTGCACTCTGCATCCGAAAGCGGCTCTGAGTCTGAACCGAATTCGGGTGCTCCTAGAACACTACACATCTGTCAGTGACCTGTTAAGCTACATCCTCAATCAATAGTTGTATTCCTTTCAAACACTCGAGCTACTCGCTTCGGTGCTTAGTCGCCCCCGATTTGCAGGGAACATATGCGTGGTGCAACAAACACTTTTCGAAAGGAATAAGCGCGTGAAGCCTCGGAGCTGTTCCGGAGCTCCTCCTAGGTGTGAAAGGAATACAACTAATGTAGCGAAGTGGCACTTCGGCACGCGTGCTGGAAAATGGATACCCATCCTCAATGCTGTCAATTTATGTAATGGTAATGTACTACGCATGACACAAGTCGGGACGCATCGAAAAAGCTTGCAGCTTGCAAGCTTGCAATTCGGAGAAAACGAACGGGTCAAACTGTAGCCGGAGTTCTTCGGAGTAACTCGGGAGCGCTCAAAGAGTGGCACCCGAAAGCAGATCCGATCTGATTGGAGCAGGTCTAGCACACGCAATAGTTATATTCCTTTCACACCTAGGAGGAGCTCCGGAGCAGCTCTGGGGCTTCACGCGCTTATTCCTTTCGAAAAGTGTTTGTTGCACCACGCATCTGTTCCCTGCAAATCGGGGGCGACTCAACACCGGAGCGAGTAACTCGAGTTTTTCAAGCTCTTGAAAGGAATACAACTAATGAAAACATGTTTCGAATCTTGCTTATGTTCCGATATCAACTGTCAGTACTGAATTTACTAGACTCCGTTCCGATATTACACTGGATTCAGTCGATTCAGTACTGAATGAATAGAAAATTACGCTGTTGAAAGGTCTGTTCCCACAGGAGTCTCTGACAGTTTGCAAACTATCAGTAAGCATCGCCCATACATATTTTCAATGCTGTCGTTACACGATAAATCTGCTACTCTAGTTGAGCGATTGTTTTTGACAGGTTGCAAACTGTCAGAGACTCCTGTGGGAACAGACCTGAAATCGGAACGGCAAATGACAGTAAAATCAGCACAGTAAATCCAGTACTGGCAGTTAATATCGGAACATAGCCCTTGAATTTTGATGGTTGACAGCTGATTTTTTTTCCATTTGCCTTTAAAAATCGCCTGTGAGGGTTCGGGTTCATTCGTTCGTTGTTGTGATTTTTCCTGAGCTTAAAAAGTACAGTTTTTCTCAAAAAGTAGCTGCTAAAGATACAGGTAAAACTACAGAATAAATTTGATCAGTGTATATTGCAATTTCATCAATTTTCAGCTATGGATATTGGAGTACCTTCTAGATTTGCTGTTCTGAACATCGAAGACGACGAAGTTCGGCCGGCGGGCGGCGGTTCCAGGAAGAAACTCGACAACAATAAACAACCGACTAAAAAGCCAAACAGCACTGGCAAAGATGCTTCGAAGTTATCTTGGTCGACCGCCAATGGCAATAAGAAGAAGGGAAATAATGACATGAATGAGGTGAACATTTTATTAGCAATTTGCAGTTTGCTGAAGATTTGTATATTTTCTGTACTCATTTGCTATACCATATCGTTAATTGTATTTTATAGTGTAGGTAGGAGGCCATGATGAAAAATACTAGTACCAAACAAAAGGTCTGTCTTCAGAAATCACAAAACAGTCAGAGTGAATTTCATTGGTTGAAACTAGTTTTCCGACTGTTTTCAACCAACGAAATTCGCTCTGACTGGTTTGCGATTTCTGCAGAAACAGACCTAAAGTCAAATCTAATTTCTGTCTAGAAAAATCAAGAGGTCTTTACAAGTTTTTACTTGTCCGAACTTTATGGTTTTGGTATTCCTTGCTTTAAATGATCTGTATTAATTGCTCTTTAATCACAAATACATTTTAACGACCATTTGAAGTTTTTATAGGTATAGTGCAAATGGCCAGCAGTATGAACAAACATTTGCATTTCATTTTTCTCTAAGGGTTGGTTTATTAATCTTCAAGATAAATTTACTTATCTGTAATCCTATTGATTGACAAATAACTGGCTGATCAATGGGCTTATAGATTGATTTTTTATTTGTCAGATTGCATTACCATTACCTAACAGTTTATCAGAAAATGAATTAACCCTAACTTATTAGGGTTGGTTAAAATCTGGCTAATTTTATTATAGTGGATAGACAGATGAATTCAAAACTTCAGAAAGCATTTTGAAAAGCTTCAGAATGCGCTCATGCCAATTTGGAACAATTTTAAGCATTTTGAGACGCTCTAGAGCACTTTATAACTTTGATAAGCTTCAGAAGACTTTCAATTCCATTTTCAATCCTCCTGCATTTTTTTGACATAGATTGGAAGTTGCAGTAACATTTTAAAACGCTACAGATCACTTTAGAATCAAATTAGAATTTCAGAAACATACTAGTGCAGATCCAGGACACTTGCGACTTTTCGAGAAAATTTAGGAAAGCTCGAGGGAAAGCTTCAGATTTTGAGATACTTTAAAGTTTAGGTTTAGATCCAATGACATCAAAACACAGATAGACCGAACAATAAACAAAATTTTCGTATGACAACATCTCTCTGTCTCTTTTGGGTCTTTGTGCTATCCCCACCATTGAGAATGCCAAATTTTGTCTTGAATCCCTAAATAATATATTTTTCTCCTCTAATTAACATTTTCAATTTTATTTCTGCTGAACTCAATTTGGCAACAGCAGATTATAGCAAAACACCGCCCAGAAGCGGCTTGTTGAATGGCAGGCAGGTGTTGATTGTAGTAGCTAGCTATCTTTATTGCAAACAGGGATTATTCATTAGCGTTAAACAAGAAACGACTAACACGATATTGGTACTCCCAGAATAAAGGGCTCGTATCGAATATTTTCAGTTTATTTGTCAATTTGTTATTTTATTTATTCATCCAATTAAGTTTCGAGATATATTCACGTGTGGGCGGGGTTTTTTACACCATTTTGAGCAATGATGTCTCCCTACCCCGACCCCGCGAGCAACTCTGGTGGTCTTGTCAACACAACAAATAATAGTTTATGAATGGGATGATCCGTCTATCTGTGTTTTGATGTCATTGTTTAGATCCGAGTTAAAATTTCCAGGAGTATTTTGGAACCCTCTAGAACACCTTTCAAATCATATGGAACTTTTGGAAACAATCTATATAGAACTGGAAAACTTTTAGAATATCTTGACAATCATCACATGACACTAATACTAATACCTTCTGAGGTAACATTACCTGTGGTTACAGGTATTAGGTCCTTCTATGTGAGACTTTTTGAAAAAAAAATTGATTTGAGAGTATTATTGTGATTCCATTCCATTTGCAAAAGTTGAGTTAGATTAGTTTGCAGAAAAAATATAAATTTGCCAACACTGCGGATACTATTTTTGAATTCCTTATGTTGAATAACCCCCAGGTACCATATTTCCTGAAATTCTCACCTGTCGTTTTGGAAATAATAAGCTGTTTCCAGACTTTTGGCTCCCTGTAGCCAACAACTGCCAAGGTTGTGGAAAATCTCCTATGGATAATGTCATTCATAAGTGCTGTCAGAGGCCCGGCTTTAGAGTGTGCCAACAATTTTTAACAAATATAGTAGAGATCCTATCAAGTCAAGAGCTGGAGTTCACCTACGTTTTCTGGGGTGAAATTTAGTGTTGATTTCTGTTCTGGAGTAGGATTCAACTGGAAGTGTTAGTCTTATATCTGAATTATAAAAACTTATAAAAAAAAAAAAAAATTAAATGTTAACTTCTGGAATGACTATGAGATGTGACATCATACAAGAAGTTAACTTTCAGTTATTTTGTCACAATAATTTTATAATACCCGCCCTAATGATGATGTTTAATCCATTATTTGTAACACCACATGGACTTATTTTATGAAAGTTTTAAGATTCACTTGCTCAAAGTTCAAATACCTATTTTCAGAAACCCAAGTCATCCGGGAAACAAAGGCAAAGAAAAAATAAGGAAGAGCTAGACACAAATTGGAAAGAATGGCAGAAAAAAGATGCAAAATTCGTCAATGATGTTTTCCAAGAACAGGTGCGTTTTACTTTGAACCCATTTTATTCTCTACTTATTTTCACTTCCGACAGGTGGAAAGCGCTATATTACAATCAAAACTAGAATTTGAGCAACAAAGAAAACTGAAAGTAATCAAAACTGAACCAGAAATCACTCAAGGCAAAAAGAAAAAAGGAAAAACCATGAGTCTTGATCAGTTTTTGGACAAAAATAAAGAGCCTGATACTAAGGAACTTGACTCTAAAATTAGCAAAGATAACGATAAAGATTTCTTCCAAGAGATATATGAAAATACCAAGAAAATTATAACTAAAGACAAGGTGGAACAAAATAGAAAGAAACGACAGGATGTCGTTGTGCCAGAAGTTATAAGTTTAGCACAATGCCAAGAGAAACTAGAACTAGAAAGAGCGAAAAGTGCTGCATTAGAAAAAGACTTAGAACTTGCTAAACAGGAAATTGCTAGGGTTAAGAAGAGAAATGGCATGTTGTGTAGTATGCTTAAACAAGGCGAGAGTAAGTTAAACAATTTGCCTTTTTTGTTGAATATTGAAAAAATTTTGTTTTGTTGTAGTGAAAGACAAGGTTCAAGTCCTTTCAGAATTAGAAAACCTGACTGTTGTTAAGGAGGAATTAACACAGGAGGTGTTAAACTTGAATAAACTTCTGGAAAAAGAGAGATCAAATAAAATACCCTCCCAAAATGAATTACATGTTAAACACAGCAAAGAGAAAGTAAGTTAATGTTTTCTTTTTTCAAGTGTGTTGCATTGATTTTTTTCTTAGTTTGTGTTTTTGTCTGTCAATCATTAACTTTTTGTTTTTTGTGTTTTTAGATTAAAAAGAAGAAGAACTAATATTTAAGTATTATTTACACACTGCCTTTTTTTGGTTTTTTGTAGTTATAGGTTGTTTTGTTCACTTATCTCATTTTTTATAGAATATAAGTAGTTTTTTTTTTGTTTTTTTTTTGTATTTTGCAATCTGAGTTTGATTGCAAATAATTTTTTCCCTAATGGATGCATGGTCTTCATTTAGTATTATTATTGTGATGGTTTATAACAGAAAGATTTCCTTGTTTTTTTTTCAGAATAAGAAGTAAAACTTCTCGTTGCTGAATAATTATTATTGTATAAGTTTGTATTTTCTTAATTTATAATAATATTATGATTATTGTTCTATTTGATGTAGTGGAATTTTATTTTTATGTTAATGTATTACTGTACTACATCAGAATAATAATTCAATAAATATGTTCCTTTTCTAAACATTGGTGTTTTATGGCATTTTAGGAAAATATCCTTAAACTTGTTATCATGCAACCTGCAACTAGTTTGCTTTTCAGTATGATGACCTCGCCTCAAGTCCAAAATGCCCAGTTTTCATTTTTTGAAATACTCATAAGATTTTAGTGACATTAAAGTAAACCAAAAACTTTCCAAAGGATGAGCGTCATTAAAACTATTATTATTATGAAATATTTATAATTTGCATATAAAAATAACTTACTTTTATTATTAAATTTATCACATAAAATCTTCAATTTTGAAGAATGAGAATAATGGGATAATTGTTACCTTAATACATTTTATACAATAATACAAAAATCGTCCTGAACAATTTATTCAAATTGATTTATCAAATTCACTTTTGATTTTGAGCTTGAAATTCTTTCATGAACTTAACCAAAAGGGCTACATCTTCATAAGTGATAGCGTTATACAATGATGCCCTGATACCTCCCACAGATCTGTGACCTTTCAATTGGTACATGAACCTCTTTTCAGCTTCTACCAAGAATTTTTCTTCCAACTCTTCATTGCCTTGAGGACCTCCTACTCGGAACGGGATATTGATTCTACTCTGGCAGTTTTTGTCAATTGGACTACTGTAGAAATTGTTTGAGGCCTTCATTGCTTCATAGAGCAGTCCGCTTTTTCTTGATGATTGGACTTCCATGTTATCTACACCTCCGTTTTTCTTGATCCATTGAAGGACTTTTTCCATTACATAGACTCTGGAAATAAAGACATAATGAGAAAAAATTTACTGTACTTATTTCTATAAAAGTTTGGTTCAAAAAAAATATATAATTTGAGGGAAAATAGGGTTTTATAAAACTTGAATCTTCATCCAGTTTACGCCTAAAGTAGTATGAATGTTTTAGAGTTTTTATCTATTTTTTTATCAAAGCATAAACTAATTTTTTCATGAACTTAGCAATACAATAATCATAACAATGACGAAATATTTTTAGTAATCCTTCAAATTTTCTTATCATAGATAACGAAGGTTAAGTATTTTGTAATTTGATTTCGATATCGACCTTTCAAGCAAACTTATTTTCTGGATTCCCAAAATGTACTTACGAAAATGTTGCAGGTGTATTCAAAACCGAATTTTCTTTATGTACTTGTGTGAAATTGAATACCGATGGACAGATTTTCATTGCATTCCCTAGAAGATCTTCTCTGACGATTACGACTACTACTCCAGAAGGTCCTATATTTTTTTGTGCTCCACCAAATATACAACCAAACTAAATTTGAAAAAAAACTTTGAAAAGTTTGTTTTAGATGATGAAAAATCTGCTTTACCTTTGATACATCCACTTTTCTAGTCATGATATTTGAAGACATATCTACAACAATAGGAACTCCATTTGTTTCAGGAATGTAAGGGAATTCAACACCGTCGACAGTCTCATTATCACAGTAATAGAAATATGAAGCATTAGGGTTCAAGTTCCAAGTGCTCTGATCAGGAATGCTACCAGGTTTGTCGGCTTTAGGAAACACTAGATTTACAGTGCCGTATTTCTCAGCTTCTTTGGCAGCTTTATTGGACCAAGTACCTGTCACTGCGTAATCTGCAGTACCAGTTCTGTTTAGGAAATTCATGGCTACTGCCGCAAAACCTCCCATACCACCTCCTTGAATAAAGAGAATTTTGTAGTTGTCTGGAACTTTCCTGGAAATTGAAACTAAATTTTGAAATATGCAATCGCGATTTGTTCAATAACTCACAGTAATTCTCTCACTAAATCCTGGGCGCTTTTATTAATTTGTCCGTATTCTTTCGATCTGTGACTCATTTCTATCAAGCTCATTCCGGAATTCTGATAAGATAGTAGTTCTCCTTGAACCTCTACAAGGACCTGCAAACAAAAAAATATAGGAAAGGTCAAAAATTGATTAATATTGATTTCAAGCAGCAATAATGATGATGATGGAAATTCTTTGCCTCGTGACAATTTGTTTTGTATATGTTAAAATTGTTTAGTTTTGGCCATTGTATTGAAATTAAAAGAAATTTAACTAAAGTGGACTTTTGACTATATTTATGATAATAGCTGATCCAGGTTAAAGATACAGAATAAATAATGAATTCTGATTCCCATTATTGAATAATTTTTCCAATGGCAAACCTAATAAGTTCCAGGACATTTGATTAAATTTTTCTTTTTTCTGTATTGTATGTAGATATAATTATTGTAGGTAGAAAAGTGAAAGGGGAATGAAAATCTGAATGCAGTTTATGCAAGGTCATAATTTTCTTCAACTCTGATAATATGATAAAACAGCATCATTATGATGTTCAATTTTGGATGATGAGTAGAGACACAAAAGATGTGAAACTATTCTTACCTCTCTGGGCAATTTGGCTGGCCCAGCACCGAAATTCAAAGCTGATTGACTGCTTCCCATATTGACTGAACAAATAAACACTTTTCACTTCAATACAAGATCAAATTTATTGTAATCCTCGAAAGACTTTTTTTGCGTGATTTTCTACTTAAATTTCTCTCTAATCAAGGCAAGGGAACCTACTATTTATCGCGAACCAGTATATCGTGACTGACAGCCGGTTCTCGAGTTCCCCTTTCACTTAAGCCATGTATTAAGCAAAGCCAGGCTTTTATATCAATTTTAAGTGACGAGGTCGAGTACCGAGTACCGTGTTTTGTCGGAAAGTGGGGATTGTTTGTTTATTTTCTGATATGTGTGGTCCCGCCTGTTGCGTCTAATTTATAATTTGTTTTCGGTTTTTGTGTACCCGGTAAAATGGTGTTTCTTTAAAACGCAAAATCCTCTAAGAGTAGGTAGATGCAATTTTCAACGCATCAACAAATCATCATTGTTATCAGCTCATTTTGATTGATGGGCATTTCTATTGATTTTCCAAAATTTCGAAGAGTTTATTGTGACAAGGTAGTAGGTACCTGACTTTGAGTTTCAAGAGTCATTAAACGTTTTTTTAGTAATTTCCTATTTAACCAAAATAATCCACTAATTATAGGGATTTTCATCAAATTTCTGATGATCAGAAACAAATTATCACCTACTTACCTACGATTAATTATTGTCATCCTTATCAGAATAATTGCGTTCAAAAAATACTTTCATAAACAAGATACCCAAATATTTGTAACACGCGATCCTATTGCAAAATACTCGCCCTACGTCATACCCCACGTAGAGATTTATCTCTTGTTTGCTCGATTTTTGATTCATATAACAAAATATCATTTAAAAACAAAATGGATTGGTCAATATAATGAATCGTGTTTCCAAGCAAGTATATCGTATGATGGAAAAGTACCTACTAAGCATGTGTTAATACTATTGAGAAATTGCTCTACCAAGGAAACCCATAAAGTAAACCAATAGGGAACATAATCGATATCAACTGTTGCTGATTTTTCAGGGATTCTGCTGTCGGTCACAGGATTTTATCATTCATGAAATGCCTTAATAGCCAAAATAAGTGTAGAAAAGTCTCAACAATATAGCTACCTAATAAAACTGAAACGCAATTTGTTTTTTTTTTATACCAGTATATCATGATTACCTAATTGTTTTTTTCAATGTTTATCCTCAACAATATCCAATAAAGTTACTAAACATAACAACACGCTATTCCAACACTATTGTGCTATCCCAATGATAAGGCTTTTTGTGATGCAAAATAAGAAGTGTTACATTTTGAAATCGTTCGCTAACGTACATGCTTTAGAATCATGCGCAAGATAACAGATAATTTAAGTAATTTTTTTAGCAATAGAGTTGATATAGGTTAGCAATACATATAACAACCTCGATAACCAACCATGATTGGTAAAATGGTAAAAATTATATCTTTTAAGGCTCAGCCTCAATGAAGTTTTGAGTAAAAGAAACACACATTAACTATAAGATTTGTAAGAGTTCTAGTCTGAGAAACTTTCTTCGAACTTTAGGCTACAATTCGTGGATAATCATTATGATAATTATTAGAATGACAAATTTAACGATCAGAAAAGAATAATTATACAAGGTGATAAAATACAAAGATTGAATGGATAGATTATATTATTATCATTTTCTCGTTGTTATTTTTGCGTATGATCAAACCAATAGGTGAACTTTCTCATAATTTTCATGGTAGGTACAGGTTTGAGAATATCTGACCAAGATATTATGATGCAATAATTACATTCAGCATAATTTTACATAACTTATCGCCATCATTATTCAAAAATGTCTTAGGTCAATAACTGAAATGTGCGATAGTAACATCGAAATCTGGATATATCCAGTTGGTTGTCAGAGTTTAAACTGGTTTTCGCTTTTTTCTTCTGATTGATTTGTTTCTGGGTACAAAAGACCATCGAATTGTGAAAAAGTGAAAGAGTTCAAATATTGTCAATTGCATATAAGTCACGACAAGACAAAAACGAAACCCATATACAACTATTAAGGGTTAAAGTGTTCACTCTTATACTGGAAGACATTTTTAAGAAACTATAAAGTGCGACACCAGAGCTATGAGCATCGACGGAGTATACTAAGACCATCTCAGCTTTGCTGATGATGACATACTCCTAATAGGAAAAAATAACCAAAAGCTACAACAAAAATAATGAGTCATTTGCAGACAAATGTAGCAATACAGAACCAGAAGATAGAAAACGTCGAAAACTATATACTCTTGGGGGCGCCATCTTAAAATCTAAATCCATTCCCATAAACCTAAAAAGAAAAGTATACGACACTTCCCAAACAGCACAAAAAACAAAGACATCTTAAAAACGTCAAGATGTCCACAAACGAGACGTTTGCTTACGTGTTCGAAGTACCTTAAAGCCATCTCAAAGACGCCGTGTTACAAAGCTCAACGTCTTTCGAACCTCCGCCTAAAAACGTCTCCATGACATTTTTCCAAGACATTCTAAAGACGGCTTCAACGAGATGTCTTAAAGACGTATTTGAATCTAGCTGTGTTTGTCTGGTTGTACCAAATAGTTTCGTTCAGTTGCCTTCAAGATGTGAATTCACGACATCTTATGGACGTCTTCTAGACGTGTTTTTTTGGTCTTTAGTTATTAGAAACCACTCAAAGAGCGATGGAAAAAAAACATGCTTGGAATATCACTATAGAGACAAAATTAAAACCACCAAAGCAGGGCCGATCCTAGCAGGTGTGCAGGCGGGCGGCCAAATCATTCTGTTATACAAGTAAAATTTTTTACAAATTCCTCAAAATAAAACTACTTCTAATACAGAAATAAGCTGAACTGAAAAAAGTCCTGAAAAATGAAAATAAATCCCGATCTCCTGATAGCATAAATAGAAAGTTAGTGCACAGTCAATGTGTAGGCTCACGCATAATGTTTTAACTCTTTACACATCCATCATAAGATCGCATAATTTTTTATATTTCCTAAATACTTCTGCTTTATTTTTTTCAAAATGTTTCTTTTTGTTCCCAATTCACCTAATTCTGCAAGAATAATTACTAACCGTCCAACAGAACTAGATGAATACTCACGCTAACAATATTACCAACTTTTTTGGTACCAAAGACTTCCAAGTGCAGGTTTGTATGTTATGTAGGTAAGTATTACGACTAGGGACTGTGGTGTCTTGATTTTCCACAGGGCCCTATTTTTCACTTTCGTACCCAGGCCCTACTTAATTTTAGGATAGTGTTTATCATTATTGATCACTACTCACCCGCGTTCAAACAACTCATAGAAAACAAATATGTTCCAAACATTTTTTTTTTAACTCTGAACTCCCAAAAACGTTCATTTTGAGGCTCGGATTGCACGCTTTTGGGCGTGGCACCCAAAAAAATGTTCTGCCTCCGGCGGCGCCTGTGGCGAGCTACCACCTCCGGCACCTACGTGAGGGTGCTATATCTCTATGGGGCGGCGCAATTGCTCTTTGCACGCGGGCAGCCGATACCCTAGGATCGGCCCTGCACCAAAGATAAGAAGCAGAAATGAAACAATATGGAAAATAGCCAGATACGATGACGACAGATGGATTCGAAGAATCCTGGAATAGAGACCAAGGGAGATGGGTGGACAACATAAGCACAATGGCATTCAAAGAGTGGATGAGAATGGCGAAGGTAAGAAAAAGGCAACAACTAGGAAAGACCTACATCCAGGAGTGAATGGATAGAGGTTGAAAAAAAAGAGACGTAGGGGAGAACCACCTACAGTGGCCATTCGCTAATAACTACTTTATCAACTATAAAGTTGTGCTGCCATCTTAACAGTATAAGGCTTATTGCCCGTACTAAAGAATGTTTGGGTTAGAAATGTACCTAAGTAGTTCCATTTTGTGTGCGGTAGAGTATGTATGTCCTTTTCTTATACCCAAACTTGTATATGCAGGTGGGTTTATTTCAAATTTTCTCTGGAATGCTTTATAACATTATTTATGTAATATTTTCTTAATAATAACTACATGTAAAGAACCTTTTTCGCCTATAATATATTCTAAAATATCAAGGTTTGAAATTTTTTTGAAAGAAAATTTCAGAAACGGGGTTTCTTCAATACTGACCAGGCTAATATTTCCCTACAGTGGCCACTACTTTTGTTATAATATTAGTAGTCGCCACTGTTAAAATCGAGTTTCTTTTTCAGCGGTATGGAGAAACTAAAAAAAAATAGACGCAACACTGGAAAAACACCTACCGAATTCATAAAAAATGCTCTCTACCGCATATTTGAAGGTGGTTGGAGTGTAAAACGGGCAGCTTTTGAATTTGAAATTCTGAGAACCACATTGAGACGCTACGTTACAAAATGTAAATATATGGGAGTGGACAATTATAAGCCAGATTCAGCGGAGAAAGGGCAACAACATAAATAAAACATATTCTTCAAAACGTCAAGGTTTAATTGATTTGAGAAGCAGTGGCCATTGTTCGAATACGGGCTGGCTAGAGTAGCCTACCAGCTGCAACAGTGGCCACATTTTGAGAATTAAGAAAAAAGTAGTGTAATTTTTTGTAAATATTTTTTTTGCATAATTCATGTAAGATGTCTTTTAGACAAATAATTAAAGTATATAAAATAAATTTCTGAACAATAAATTGACCAAAATGGGCAAGTTACAGCGATAAAAGTAAAAATGTGGTGGTCACTGTAAGTGGTTCTCCCCTACCTTATTATAGAGGAAATTTTATTTCTCTGGAAATGTTTTTCCTGATTATTACCACCTACATCTAACTCAAACTACTAATAACAATAGAAACTTTCCATTACTATTCGCCTAATTACATTTTTGCACTTCTACACCACTGGTGGGAAACTGGAAACTCCATTATATTTACTGGCAACTGCGCAATCGATCGATACGTAAATTTTCCACTACTACACTTGTTTTCCTTTGCCAAGTTTTCCACCCTTAGTTTTTATGAAATACTGTCGTCTTTTAAAAAAACGCAATCCAGAACTTAGTTTTAATATAGTGAATTTTGCATTGTTTGCGATTCAATTGAAATAATAATTTTCCAAGGAAAAGGCATGAATTTTCACCGTATTAGATTACAAACGAAAATGTGAAGGTAAGTGCGTACTTACCTATATGAGAAATTTTGCAAATAATACTTGAATAATTGATTTTTTTAAAAATTGATTCAAGCAAAACAAGTTGAAATTAAAAATCATAATAATGCCTCCGAACGAAGCAAATTTAGGATACGCTTACCAATTACCAGCAGGAGGATGGTCAGCCAAAATCCGAAACGCCTTATCTCAATTTAGCGATATTTTTAGCGAATTTGATAAGTATATCGCTCCGGCTTACCATCATGATAGATGCGAAAGGTAAGTCAATTACTTTTCATGGATATATTAATTATTGAATATTTTACAGATCTGTCCAAATGCGTCTATACTCGATGCACAAACGAGAATTTGTCATGATATTTGTACTGTTTTTCGCATGCCTTGGACTAACAGTTTTTATTGGTCTTGCAGGTAAAAACTTCTTAAGTAATCAAAAACCACTCAAATTAATATATTTTAATTAAGGGCCTCCAATAACAAAGACTACCCCAATAGATGGTTTATCTTTATTGCCAAAAACAAATAATACCAATGCATCTAGGAAAGATATAGCAACTGGACCTTTTATTATGAAAACTCCAAAGTTATCCACCTATAACCAACAGCTTTGGATAATAGCTAAACTGAAAACAGAAAATACAGGTAGGTATTAATAATTTCATACAAAACTATTATGAAAAATATTATATACAAATAATTTTAAGGAGAAATAATAGACAAAGAATTTGATATCTGTGTAACTTTATCTGGATTAACTGAAGAACATAAACCTGATAAAATTTTAACAGCAAAAGATCATCAAAATAGGTAACAAATATTTTTTAATTTAAACGATTTTCTAATTTTTCTAATTTTTAGAAGTCGTCACTTACATTGCGACAAACAAACTTGTGACGAATTCATAGTGATGCATCTAGGTTATCTAGACTACACTCATTACATAGTGAATATTATTTTCAACGATCTTGAATCGTTTCATTCAAGATATACCATCAAAGAAGTATATTTTTATGTGAGTTCTCTGACCCTATTCTATTTGACCATGTAGTCAATTCATTATTGTTTCAGTTCAAGACTTACAATCCAGATTTTACTCAAATTGAAGTGTGGTTCAGGTTGATATTTTTGATTGGAGCTTTTTCAATAACAGTAAGTACTCATACATGCATTGAATTAAAAGAAATCATTGCCAACTCTGTGAAAAGTATCATGCTTCAAAAAAAAGTTCAAACATCTGAGACATTGAACTGTCTCAAAGCCTCATGACTTGAGACTAATTCTGAACACTTCGAAGATTCTAACCCAGACAGAACAGATCGAGGCATCTTAAAAAGTCTTTCAGACGTCTGCCTGGGAAAAGTATTTAGTGTTAGTCTTAATCCATGGTTTTAGAATGAAACGAAGCGATGGCAACAGTTTAGAATCCGCCAAAAAACCAAAAAAATTATAGTTTTTGGCTAAAAACTTGAGTCTCAAATCAGCGACATCTTTATTCTAAAATCTTGTGAAAGGAAACTTTAAAGATTCATAGACTCAACTTCAGTCTTCATTGTCGTGTCTTTGGAATTCTAAAGATACGATACTGAGCTATATTTAAAGATTTTTGATTGAAGACTTCGTTGTTTGAGTGAAGCCTCTGATAATTGAGATAATTCTAAAAACACCAAAAAATTCAACAACTTTTGAAGAATCCGAATGTATTTATTGATCTTGATGAATCATGAACTCAGATTTTTAAGACACAACGCTGAAGGGCTTTGAAGATTCTGAAAAATTATTCAATAACTTGTAGAAAATAGTAATTCATCTATCATTCCATTTTTAGTGGTGGTACTATCAATGCTTAAGAAAATACCCAGTGCATTGTTGGGCTTTTGAACAAAAATGGGTTGGAATGTTACTTCCACTCCTGATGACATTTGATAGTAAGTTATCCATTTGACATAATAAGACCATACAAAACAATTTTCCAGATCCCATATTTCCAATGATATTCTTGGTAAGTTCCTGGCTTCCTGGAATGTTGGATGCTATTTTTCAAGCCACTTTCTTGGCGACGTTATTTTTGTTTTGGTTAAGCGTTTATCACGGACTGAGACAGGTAAAAATATAAAATTATACATTGTAGTGGGGCACGAAAAACTTCCCACCCAGGTTCTCTTAGGTATCAGGTAATACATACTAACACACATAACACCTGAGTGAGAAATCACTTGAGTGGGAAGTTTTTCGTGCCTCACCAGTATGTATTGGAAAATAGCTCAATTTTTCGTTTTAGAATGAAAGAAATGTCTACACTTTTTACCTACCAAAGTTCTTCGTTGTCGGAATGATGTATTTTCCAACGCTGGTACTTTCCACCTGGCAAAAAATTAGCGAACTGAACGATCCGGGCTACGATCATACAACTGAAGCTAATTTTTATGTAAATATTTTTTCTATATTTTGGCTCCAATATTAAATTATAATAATACTTTTGTAGGTTGTCAAGGCATTTTTTTATATCTTTGGAGTAATCTACTTAATCTACTTAGCTTATTTGATTTTGAAAGCATATTCAGAGTTGAGATCTATGCCCTTCTTTGGTGAGTAGGTACCTACACATAAATATTGTTTTTATTATACTGATTTCTGGGTTTTAGGTCTTCGTCTAAAATTCTTAACCCTTTTAATGTTAGTCGTCTTAACCATTGGAGGAATGATAACAGCCTCAAAATTCGGTGTAGATGTTTTAGAAGATAATTTTGTAGCTCAATTAGGTACCCATTACAACAATTCATCACAATTTATGTCTTTTTATGGCTTATTAAATTTGTATGTTTACACTATGGCTTATGTGTATTCACCAAGTAACAAAAATCTTCACGGTAAGTAACAATTTCAAATATTAGCCAAGAAGAATTGAAATTGAGTAATTTATTTTATTATATTCAGATCCAGGAATAACAAAAGACAACCCAGCATTTTCAATGATAAATGACTCAGACGAAGATGTAATTTATGGTTCAGATGAAGAAAGCAGGCGACCACTGAATAGAGGACATAACGACGATGACAGTGACTAAATAGAAATGCAAAAACTATGGAAAAAGGACTTGAAAATAAATCAGTATCATTTGATGATGAACAAAAACAAAGATGGGTATATGAATTAAATGCTCGGTGATAACAGGAATTAGTTTAATTGGAAATAATTTCGGTTACTTTTTAAAGAAATAAATGTCAATTTAATTAATTTGACAGAAATGTTAAGTACCACGGAAGAATTATTATCTATGTTTATAAATTTAATACTTAATATTAATTTATTTTTATAAAATTTTGATGTCGTAGTTAAATCAAGATACCTACCAAGTATATCATGCTCTAGAAAATAATTGTTTACATAATTATAATTAGTGTTTTTAGGTACAATATTATAATGGATTGATTATTTGATTTTTGTCTCGAACTTCATCTACGAACTACGATGTTGTTGTATTATTACAATAAAGCCACACATAAATGATGTAGATTTTATATAACCCATTATTGTATATTTTCAATACATATTTTTTATAAAATTAAGTCAAATTTGGCCAATCTATATTATCCATTTAGGTGAATATTTCTAGCCTAATTTTTACATAAGCCTCAATACCATGTATTGTTCGAAAATATCGTTGATAATGAATTATACATTTATCAGTTTTGTGTACTGACTATTTACGTTATTAGACTTCCGGCACTGCAAGTGATGGTCCTACAAAAATACTTACAGAAATTTCAATTTCTAAATGTTATTTAATATATTTATTGTTTGTATGTAATGAAATTGTTTTTATGTAGTTTTTTTTCAAGAAAATCAAAAACTTGGTTTTAATAATAATAAACATCTTTATTACAACACCATATTTTATACAATTCATCATACAACATCTGATTACACTTTAATCACTTACACAAATCTACTTATATCATATTGAATAGGATAAATCCAGTCAAATCCTTTGAGGATACATTTAATAACATTGAGTGAAAACAATTGGTAGGTACCCACGTACATATTAGTGAAATTTTGATTCAAAAAATGTGTGATTGTCTGCAATAAGTAGAGGTAGGTACCTATTAAACCTATCATTAAACCAAAAATAAGATATTAATTTCCTAATTAACAAAACAGCAACATCACATTTATTGATTATTATCATATTAGACATTTATTTGGAAGGAGTATTTACATCTATAAACATTATAAAAATTATTCTAAACTCAATTCGTTGGGGCAAATTTATTGGAAAATCAAAATCGAATTTTTTTATGTCTAGATCTTAAAATTGAGTCTGATATTTGAGCAAGAATTTCCATTTTAATCCATAGAAGGTTGATTGTCTAATCTAGGATACTAGGAATAATTGTAGAGATTTTTAAACATGAGACACATTTTTGGGAAATATACATATAGACCAAAAAACGAATTTTTGATCACGTAAGTACATTTATATAGATATTATTACAATTAGTAATTAGTTTGTTTTTGTGCGTTATTGCCTTTACTTTTATTAAAAATGTTCACCTTGTTACGTAAGTTTGGATTATAAACTTATATAAGTTTTACCCAGGACCCAATACATTTTTCAGGAATATATTTCTTTGTTTTTGTTAAGTAGTTTTGTTTTATGTTTATGTTTTTGGTATTTTAAGTACATAATACCAACTGAATCAATATAATTAGAGCAGAATTATAGTGGTATACCAAGAAATCCTCAAATACCGAAACATCAACAATCATTTAGAGTTTTCTTTTTCTTGGGAACGTTAACAATTTATAACATTCATTTTTAAGTAGTCTTATAAACCCTGCGTTATTTTGTAAAAATATTTTTTTAGAAGTTAAAATAGTAGATAGTTTTGTTGTTTTCTTTTTGGCGGCATCTACGTTACACCGTTTAGGACATAAAGTTTATCTGTCGAACCAGCCTGAAAAATAGAACAAAATCTAGAATTAATTTATTTCATAACGAACACAATCTATATAACAAAGTAGAGGGCTTTAGCCCAAATTGTTTATAATTCAAAACCAGAAACTGGTGGTTGGTTGAAGAAAAAGGGAAACATGTGGAAAATGAGTTCTATCAGGAAAATGTTTTATAGTGATCATTAGGTACCTTTACACTCACACTCTTTCCCGCAGTTTTAGAACGTAGCGTTCCAATCGTGCGCGAAAGAACGTCAAAAAAATTACAAACAATTTGTTGTTATACCTTGAGGTATTTTTCCTCAAGAACCTGATAAATGGCTTTGCATGTTTCTGGTATGATGCGACTTAAGGATGATGGTGAAATTCCTGTCGAAAATTTAAGATCTTCATAAGAGCGACCTTTAGCTAAATAACGCAATGTAACTGCTAGTCTCTCTTCGGCACTTTTAATTTCTCTCTTTGTGTTTTGTTTAGAAATCACAGGTGAGACCATGTCCAATAAGATTTCAAATGTATCAGAATCCATACGTAGATAATTCTTAAAGGGGGTGTGATCCAAAAATGAAAGTTTTAGTGCAAAAAAATCTAAGAATAAATATTTAAACCGCATTTTACTACGATGATCCGTTTTCGAATTAGGGCAGTTTATAGGTACAACTAGGTTTTTGTGACGTCACACTGGATTATTAGAAACAGTATTAACACGTGTAGGAATTTTCTAAAACAAAAAACAATTATCTCCTAGAGCGAATTGCAACCACTTAAAGTATGGGGTACGGCTCTTTGACGAATAAACGAACAGAAGACTGCGATTTCGGCGGTTATGACATCACAAGCTCATGCATAATTTATTTTCAAATGGAATTTTCTCGGAGACTATTTTGAATATAGCACTGCGGTTTTCACAAGAGATCTTAGAATTTTTTTCTTAATTTAAGTAGCTTAAAAGGGCCGTATTCTTCGTAGTTCATAAAGCTTGGCTTAGTGGAAACGCTTGGCTTTTTGTGTGACAAAGCCGAGCTTTTCCACTAAGCCAGGCTTTATGAACTACGGAGAATATGGCCCTAAGTCGTTTTTTAGGGTCACACCCCCTTTAAAATCGCTTGGGAAATTTTATCATAATTCATTCAATAATGGCATGTGACCGTATTTGTTGCGATCTTCCATCCATTTCTTCATCCATATCCTCTTTTTCGTCTTATTTTCCGAATCTATATAATTTGCAGCCATGAGGACAACTTTCAACTTTCTGCGTCTAATTAATTTGTACATTTTGCATAATAACACTCGAAAAATTTTAGAAATTCTAAAATGCCACGAGCGAGGTTTTCGATTTACACTGACATGGTTTTCCTCTCACGTTCCAAACATTTGAACAAGTCTTCGCGATTGGAACGTTGCAATATTTTAAATTTCAATGAAACGCTCTTGGAATGCCACGTCCTTGGAGCGTCGCTTTCGTGCGAGTTTGACACGTCCCGTACCTATTGATATCAAGAAAATATGAAACCACAAATAGCGAGGGGTAAAGTGCAGATACCTACACCAGATTGCGGTTTTATATATCAAGAAAATATGAAACCACAAATAGCGAGGGGTAAAGTGCAGATACCTACACCAGATTGCGGTTTTATGGGAAATCATGAATGATTTCCCCTGATTACCAGTGAGATTGCCCAAGAGTTCCCCTGATACAATAACCTCAAATTATAAAGATTTTTGCGTTAGATCTAAAAATTGACTGATTTCTTCAAGATTTCCCATGATTAGATTAAGATGTCCTCTGAGTTCCTTAAGATTTCTTCTAATTTCCTCTGATTTTCTTATGATTTCCCCTGATTGCCCTAGATTTCCCCGGATTTTGTTTCGATTTCCTCTAATTTGTACACGATTTTCCAAAACTGATCTGCGGTTTAATCCGAGATCAGTTTTTGTATACCAGTACTGGGACTCCTTTGTAACGGATAGAGATCGCATCCATATCGCTATGGTACTTGCCGTCTTCTTCTCTCTTTTCGAAATTGAGGGGACGTCAATAGAAATAATAAAGAAAATATTTCTATTCGTTACAGAATCGTAGCCCAAATTGCAATTTCAGGGAAAACTTGGATGATTTCTCAAGATTTCTTCTGATTACCAGTAAGATGGCCCAAAGAGTTCCCTGATAACATAACCTCAAATTATAAAGATTTTGAAGTGAAACTTATTCTTAGGCCAGGCGGCGGCTGATATTTAGACGAGAATGGAGAGTGATTTGCAAGACGCGTCACGTTTAGGAAATTTCCTTTCCTACAGCCGTGCGGAAAAATCAATTTTCCGTACTGATATGCGTGCGGAAAATGAGTTTTCCCCCCCGTTGCGGAAAAACTTCTACCGTACGCTTATCGGAGAAAGTTTTACCGTACGGCTGTCAGTGCGGAAAAATTTTTACCGCACGCCTGTCAAAAAAGAAAAAAAGAAAAATTCTACATTTTTACGCCTGTAGGAAAAATATTGTACCTAACACTTGCGGAAAATATTTTTCCGCACTCGGCTGCTTCACCGAACTCCAGCTGCGTGCGAAAAAATTCATTTTCCGCACTTGTTAGGTAAATAGCTATTACTTATACGAGACAGAAGAAAAATAGAACGTAGATAGACGGAGAAAGACAGCCAGTGACAATGACAGCTGACAAATGATTGACACAAACCAAGGATTAAAAGCAAAGAGGATTGCCTACTATTGTCAAGCGTCGATAGGTACCCTTGTGTCGTCACTACAGATGCCTATTATTGTGCGTCTGAATTTTGTGTGGTGATTCGTCTTAATCCCGACTCATACGCTAAGTTTAAAGGGTTTATGAGGGGGGGATGGTTTTTGAGAAGTTTCACTTCTATCACGTGTACGGCGCTGCACATGATTTTTTAAAAACTGCACATGCGTTAGATCTAGAGATTGACTGATTTCCTTAAGATTTTCCTTGATTTACTCTGATTTCCATAATTCCATATGCTTTCCCTTGCGGTTCGCCCCTCGGAAAAATTGGATGGAAATTTATAAATACCCTCTGGCTCTATGGGGTACCTATATGTATATTATATATCTTGAACTTTATAATACCAGTAAGGTCAGTTGGTTGGGGTAAATGCGTATTTGGGGTAACAACGTCCGGTTCATATAATAAAAGAATCATACAGATTGCTGGCGCACCATAAGTCAGCTGTCACAGTTGTAACCGTACATTACTATTTGAAATTGGAGAGCGAGTAGGTGAGTATTTTATGAAAAATCCCTAATTTTTAAATTTTATGCCATACTTTTAATTTTATGGTATAGGTGGGATTAAATATCAATAAAGTAAAGGTTGTTTGATATTTTCAAGGTCCAAATGCTTCATTTAATAAGTACAGCTGTGGACGCACTTACCCCTAAAAATATGTAGTAGGGCTAAGGGCGTCCTTTTGCATTTACGAATAGTCCGCACTTACCCCCCACATAACAGTGAAAGAACATTCATATCCTCAGAATATTCCCTCAAAGTGCTTTTTGGAAATTTTTTTTCTTTTAGGAATGTTTAATGAATATTCTAAGGTTGTTTCGATTGAAATATTCATTTTTGAAAGTTCTATTTATGTACTAGGAATGTTGCTTCTATGGACCTACCTGAAAGATTGTGCTAAGAACCTACTTTATATAACATTATTTGAATATTGTCCTACCAACATTATTATAATGTATCCTAAAAAAGGTTCTTTTGGCTAATATCTCTATCAAGTATTAAGAATATACCTACCAAGTTGTGCTGAGAAGTTTATGTAGGTAGGTGACCATGATAATAAGAATATTTTCATATTATTCACCTAATTATCTAAAGTACCTCTCAAAAATCTTGATTGAACAATTAAACGAAAATGCTCTATCTAGAATCTCCTAAGAATATTATAGGTATATTCTTCTTCTTTTGCTTTGTAGGACTTCCAAGAGAGGGAGCCACGCGCTATTAAAGATCTACATCTTGCCTAGCGTTTGAATCACCTTGGAACCTGTTTTTCTCAGTTGGCGTGCTTATCGCGATGAAAGCATAACAAGCTAGAAACTGAAGCTTTGGTTAAACACTTGTGTTTTCCAGAGAAGTTTTCTAACAACTCTTTCACTGCCTTTAATATAAAAGGACTGAAAGGAGCATTATTTGGAAGCGAAACTTAACATTCCAAGTATATTCCTATTATCAAACAAAAATGTTATGTCCTGTCTATAGGATGCATATTGAGAATGATATAATGTAGATATATTCTAAGAAAATTTCAAGCATATTGGTATAATATTCTTTTGAGAACATAACTATAATGTCATAGAAACATTCTTTGAATGTGAGAATATACATTTCAAGCATATTTTTAGAATCAAACAGGAATATTCTTTTCAGGATGTACTGAGAATCTCATAGGTATATTCTAGGAATATCCTAATGGATTTCCCAGGAAGTTCTTGGGTATTGCAAACAGTATTTCTACAATCTGTTCTCAGAACATTCTCAGGACATTCGCAATGGTTTTGGCGAACATTCTAGGCACATTCCTCCTAAAAAAAGAACATTCCTATTACATTCTAAAGATGCAATTTTGTTATGTGGGCCCATTCTTTTAGAGGGGACATATTTTTAAGTTTCCCATAGTTGACGACATTTTCGTCGTGTTCGAAACACATTGTGAAGTTGGTGCCTATTCCGAAATTGATCGGCGAGGAGAAATATCATTCCAATTATCATTTAGCGGATACACGGTAGAATAGAGTTTTTAAGCTCATTTATTCTAAGTTTAGAATTACCTATAAAGTTTAAAGTTATCATTTAATACTGTAACAGCTCTAATAATTTTTGTTTATTTTTGCTTAAGTATGTCTCATTTATTTGAAATTATTGAGTTTGTAACTTTGTTTAGAATACCTAAAGATATTTTAGATTCAAAAAAACCATTTTGATCTGAAAAATATGACCAAAACGCTCTTGCCCCTAGCTTCACTCTATGTGTGTTAAGTACAAAGATATATTCAAATTCGCACTTACCCCATGTTCCGGGGTAAGTGAGTCCACTGGGCCAAATTTTTGAAAAAATCGTAAACTTTGAAAATTAAGCTGTAAATAAACGTGGTTTAGGCTTTAACTCATAGTTATGGCTTGTATAAATAAAATGTGATCATATTACGATCACCTAAAAATATTCAGAAGTATATTTGAAGTCGCTAAATTTTGTGTCGCACTTACCCCAACTGAACTTATATGACAATGGAAAGAAACTACTTACATTATTATGGACGGACGACAATGACAAATTTGCAGGGTTGGAAATTGAGTTGATCATTTTCTCATTTTCCTCTCGAACTGTAAAAAATAACAATACATTATCAGTAATCCTATTCAACATTGTTGTTATAAATCAAAGCCTTAATACGAGATTATTTTCTTGCATAGGTAGGTAGGTATATAAGCTAAGAGACCTACCATTATCTTCATTGAAAATACCTGAGTACTTTGTTGAGTAGGTGTAGGTACCTATCTAAGTTTGTATTTTTGTAGATAAATTTCTCAAACTTATGAAAAATCATATATCTACATAATATCGTTGATTGTTACAAATCCTAAGAATATCAGTTCATTTGAACTTGTATATAGTTTCAGAGATATAAAATCCCGCTAAGGAATTTCTTTGCTGCCCTTAGCTGCTCAAATTTGAAATTCAAACTTCTCAATTAATTCGGTTGTAGCTTACATTTCATAAATTCTTCTTAAATCTTTCAAAATTGTGTCAAGCAACTTTTAGGACACCTATGTTAAAAAAGTATGTCGGATAAACCTAATTTTACGTTAGTACATATTCTAATAAATTATTACTCACCAAAGCAATAAATACAAAATTCATTTTCGAAAAACCTCTATTTATTCTCATCAAATATAGGCACATCAGGATTTGGTGAAAACGTATAATAAGTCAAATTTTTTGTAGAATTTTTATCAACCACTGTTGCAGTACTGGTATGAGTCAGCGTAACCACCACACACAAAATACTGATACAAAATAGCAGCAAATATACTCCCAAAATGATTTTTAAAATTTTTCTTTTTCTCCTTTGTCCTATTGTTTCTTCTTCTTCTTGTAACGGTATTTGTCCTCTTGAATTGTTGGAAATTGATTCGGAGATTTTCCTTGTACTAAAAATAAAAAAACCCTGATGAATGAAAACAAAACATCACTTAAGAAATTGCACTATAATAATTTTCCATTGAATAACAGGAGTAATTTATGCAATAGTTATTTAATTAAGTCAAGTTTTTTGAAATTGATTGGCGCATGAATTAAAAATAGACATTTTCACTGTACTTACTCCACTCTTTTTATATCATAAGCATAAGACCCTCTACTCGCTTTACTACTTCTTTTTCTCTTTAATTTTTTTGAAGGTCCTTTGACATTGTTTTCTCCTAAACAATATTCGCTTTTTCTTCTTTGACTGCAATCTCTTTTGCGTTGTTTTTTATGATCAATGCGATAAATCTCTTCTAGGGATGTTGTTCTTTGCAAACGTTTTGGACCTTAATTGAAACAAAATACAAAATAGAAACTTTATATGAATTAGGTATAAGGGCAATATATTCCAAACCTGAAAGTATTTCAATTTGGCAGTAATAGTTACTGTTTTTATTCGCTTTTTATCCCTGGAAAGTACCTAAATATTTGCCCCAGCTAATTTTAAAATAATATATATTGAAAACGAAAAACATAATTAAAATAAACATTTTGTGAGACTCTCCATATAATTATATTATAATAAAACAAAACAGTAAAGTCTTACCATAGAAAAGAAGTTCCTGAGAAGTAATACGAGTAGTTACAACTCCGGTCGAATAATCCGAAGCACTGCTATGACTCGAATTCGAATTCAATCTTCTGAAAGTGTCCTTTCTTCTAGGCGGACACAAAAATGAACTCGAGTTACAAGGATTTTCTATTACGTCCGAGTTTGCGGTGCACAAACGAGTTGCGAACGAAGTTTTCAAGCACAGCGAATCGCTGCTGGCCATCTCGACTGACCGGAAAATTTTCACGAAATGAAATTACCCGCAAGTTTGAGTGCGTTTTCCGTCTAACGAATTTCGAAGTTTACGATCGCGGGCTTGATTAAATTTAACCGACAGTACCTTATTCCCAAAAGTTACTTGACATTATTAAAATGGTGAATATTTTTCTTATAGCTTTTCAGTAATAGCAAGATTCACTTTCCTTTTCCAATCAAAATGTATTGTTTGATAGGTATTGGGTCAAATGAATTGAGCCAAATTTCATATTGCCACTCTAACATATAATTGCATCTAGTTTCCAGAGGAACTAGCCAACAATAATTCAGAAACAACTTTTTCTATTTTTAACTCTTTTACTAGGGACTTCTCTTGAATATTCCCGATGTAATCACATTGTTTTCCGTGGAGGATAATGGGAAAGCAATTTTACAGTTATTAGCCCATAAAATTCGGTTTTGTGTGAAAATTTTATCGGTCATGAAACCGCCAACCAAACAAAATAGATTTCTGGATCAAGTATTTTAAATCCTTCCATCATGTAATTGTCTGTTGTTTGATTCTGAATGGAAAAATTGGCGTTTAAAATTTTGTTTGATGCAATAGAATTTTTGTAGATTACACAAAATACTAATTAATATAATTGGGGAAACTTTCGTCTATACCAGGCTCTTGATCATTTTTCTTTCTTCTCTCAGTTACTCTTTAAAATGTTAATAATCGAGGAAACTTCTGTCTATTCCAGGTTTTTGATTCTTCTTTTTTTTCTCAATGTCTCTTTTATTAACTAATAAGCCTCAGAAGTTTTTCAAATCTTCAAATATTTCTCAGTCTTTAGGGCCTTTGAAATCTCTAGAATTTGTCTTTGAAATCCGCAAAGTCTCCGTTGTATCAAATTTTGGAAGAAATTGGTTGACAAGTAGTAGAAATGAAAGTATTTGTCTATTCCAGGCTCTTGAAAACTCTCAATTTAGGGAAATTTGAAGAAACTCAAGAGCCGAGAATAGACAAAAATTGATGACCAATAAAATTAATGAGAATTAGAAATTGAGAAGAAATTGGTAGACAAGTCAAAATATTATTATTTTCTCTATTTCAAGGCTCCTGAATTCTCGCAATTTAGGGAAATTTGAAGAAACTCAAGAGCCGAAAATAGACAAAAATTGAGAAGAAAAATAATGAGTACTGGAAATTGAGAAAAAATTTAGCAGAAATTGGTAGACAAGTAGGAATATAAGTATTTTCTCTATTCCAGACTCTTCAATTATCTCAATTGAGAGAAAATTCCAAAAAAATTCAAGAGAACAGGTCAGTTTTTATACACCAGATTGCGGTTTAAGGGGAAATCATGGATGATTTCCCATGATTTCCTGTGATGTCTCACAATTTCCCCTTATTTCTTCTGATTATTGTCAGTAAGATTGCACAAGAGTTCCCCTGTCCTGAAATTATAAAGATTTTTTGAAAACTGCCTATGCGTTAGATATACATATTGACCAAAGTTCCCTAAGATTTCCCTTGATTTCCTCATGGTTTTTCCTGATTTTCTTAGATTTCCTCCGATTTCCTCTTGATTTTCCCTAATTTGTATACCAAATTTCCGTTGTGGTTCACCCCTGACGGGTTTATTGACCCTTTTTCCTCTGAAATTGCGTTTTACAAGGACAAGAATAGACAAATGGAATAGGAAGATGTTACGTGGGGATTCAGTGTAAAATGCGCTTGTCTATAGAACTTACGTCACAAAATAAAATCCAGAACTCCAGATTATGGAATCTCATGACGTAAAAGTGAGTAAGTACCCCAGAGAAGATCTAAGATTTCAAAAAAATCACTTCTCTTGGAAAAATGGAAAGAAAAAAAGAATTGGAAATTGAGAAGAAATTAATAGAGAAGTCAAAATATTATTATTTTCTCTATTCCAGGCTCTTGAATTCTTTCAATTTAGAGAAATTTGGAGAAATTCAAAAACCGGGAATAGACAAAAACTGAAAAGAAAAATAATGATAATTGGAAATTGAGAAAAATTTGAGCAGTTATTGGTAGACAAGTAGGAATATAAGTATTTTCTCTATTCCAGACTCTTCAATTATCTCAATTGAGAGAAAATTCCAAAAAAATTCAAGAGAACAGGTCAGTTTTTATACACCAGATTGCGGTTTAAGGGGAAATCATGGATGATTTCCCATGATTTCCTGTGATGTCTCACAATTTCCCCTTATTTCTTCTGATTATTATCAGTAAGATTGCACAAGAGTTCCCCTGTCCTGAAATTATAAAGATTTTTTGAAAACTGCCCATGCGTTAGATATACATATTGACCAAAGTTCCCTAAGATTTCCCTTGATTTCCTCATGGTTTTTCCTGATTTTCTTAGATTTCCTCCGATTTCCTCTTGATTTTCCCTAATTTGTATACCAAATTTCCGTTGTGGTTCACCCCTGACGGGTTTATTGACCCTTTTTCCTCTGAAATTGCGTTTTACAAGGACAAGAATAGACAAATGGAATAGGAAGATGTTACGTGGGGATTCAGTGTAAAATGCGCTTGTCTATAGAACTTACGTCACAAAATAAAATCCAGAACTCCAGATTATGGAATCTCATGACGTAAAAGTGAGTAAGTACCCCAGAGAAGATCTAAGATTTCAAAAAAATCACTTCTCTTGGAAAAATGGAAAGAAAAAAAGAATTGGAAATTGAGAAGAAATTAATAGAGAAGTCAAAATATTATTATTTTCTCTATTCCAGGCTCTTGAATTCTTTCAATTTAGAGAAATTTGGAGAAATTCAAAAACCGGGAATAGACAAAAACTGAAAAGAAAAATAATGATAATTGGAAATTGAGAAAAATTTGAGCAGTTATTGGTAGACAAGTAGGAATATAAGTATTTTCTCTATTCCAGACTCTTCAATTATCTCAATTGAGAGAAAATTCCAAAAAAATTCAAGAGAACAGGTCAGTTTTTATACACCAGATTGCGGTTTAAGGGGAAATCATGGATGATTTCCCATGATTTCCTGTGATGTCTCACAATTTCCCCTTATTTCTTCTGATTATTATCAGTAAGATTGCACAAGAGTTCCCCTGTCCTGAAATTATAAAGATTTTTTGAAAACTGCCCATGCGTTAGATATACATATTGACCAAAGTTCCCTAAGATTTCCCTTGATTTCCTCATGGTTTTTCCTGATTTTCTTAGATTTCCTCCGATTTCCTCTTGATTTCCCCTAATTTGTATACCAAATTTCCGTTGTGGTTCACCCCTGACGGGTTTATTGACCCTTTTTCCTCTGAAATTGCGTTTA